GGAAAAGAGAGAGATTCCATGGACCAATGAACTACCAAGGCTGCTCCAAGACAGCAAACGGTAACCACGTTCTGAAACAGATGTGGGTTACCAGTATCATGACGTTGTCAATGGACAGAGAACGTGAGTCCGCGCAGAGGTCGAAAAAACCTCCGGGATGAACGTGACTTCTCGCAAGTTCACGGCGTGAATCGGACACAATTCACCACATCCGTTTCAAAAGCAAACCGGAAATACATTAAGGAACGTCGCCAACGACTTATCAGACAGAACAACGATAGGAGAACACGACACGTGTCCCTCATCAACCCAGTCAACGATACTATGATGATTCATCAGTATCAGAACCGTAGTACGGTCAGCCAAAGGTCCTTACCACACAGACCGAGTCAATAACAATGGCACTGTACGGCTCCGACATACTACCGCAGTAGCGGCACAGTCTACCAGACTTGGAACATAAGGTAATTTACACCCATACAAGGGCCTGAATCCCTTGTAGGATTGCCATCCGTGCGACGCACATGTCTACATCCAATCTCCGGAGAGTGCCCCGACTTTAATTCATATGTTCTCTTGTCCGACTGATGTCGTGCCTTCCGTGACCCTTGTCAGGGGGCGAATGCAATACAACGGCTCTTAGCCTTATTGCGACTCGATCCTAGATAGGGTTTGAGTTCGACTCATGACTGAGTCTCTCCGTGAATAGTCATTGAGACAGGGTTCTCAATGACCGCTCTAGTCATACTAGGTTGATGATAAACATCGCTCTAGATATTATAGCCAGCGTGGAGTACTTCACGCTACTAGATAAATGCTAGACGAATCTTCAGCGTTCCGTTTTTTGGATCGTGGAGTGAGTAGGATTGCTACCAAACCTACTCTATCACACTCTACAGCTCCCCGGGAGTTCAGAATCTACGATCCTTTGATTGTGGATCTCTCTCGTTGATTAGTTTTTCATAGCTTTCTAATCCTCTCATAACTTTCATTCTCTCAAACTCAAAACACTCGAAAGATCTTTACACTAGCTTTTAGCGTAGTGCAGTACCTCACCATGACTACACGATGAACTCAACCAATATGGCACCTACACAACCAAACCAACTAGCTAGAGTTGTCTACATTTTTTGCTTGTCACAGCCATGTGGAAGACATTATCTTATGTCAAACTAGATGCTTCATTTTTTCCCAAATATTCCCAAGTTGTCAAATCCACCTTCGTTTCGGACTGTGTCACCCTTCTGCTATCAACCCAATCATACATATTGATCCAATGGTCATATTAGGGAGGATGATATCATTGAAAGTGAGTAGGATCAACAAGTTAATAGAAAAAGTGGCAGCCGCGGACCACAAATCCAAAATGAACCACCTACAACTCTGGCATCTATTCTAATGGCTCTTATGCTAGCACCAATGGCTTTAGCCACTCAAGTCTGGCTGCTTTTTCTACCTGAAGGAATGGGTCCATCAGATGGGTCCAATGGGGCTGGTAGTGGGGACAGAGATTGATCAACCAGTTAGTGACAGTAAACCTTGCGAAAAAATGGCTGACCTACTTTGCTGGCCATTCGTCACTCCTATGACCGACAAATCAATAAACCACTACCACCACTGCGACCGGCACATCCAAATTATGTATTCCCTATCTCAGAGTATTGATAGGGTGGCTCTATTTGTTATTCTGGTAGGGTAGTTATAGCAACATGGTTGATTGATCAAAGGATGAGATTTTTCCATTGTGGAACAAGCAGGAAGCCAAACACCATTCAAAAAGTGAGGTTCCTGTGCGTTCTTGGAGGTTTGCAGCAGATTCTCCCTGACGGTTCATTCTCCCTGTTGGATCGTTCCTAGTGTGGGTACAACTGTAGGACAGCAGAGTCTACTAGCTAGAGGCAACCCTGCCGTGCCGTGCGCCAGCCGACAGTTACTGTAAAAAGCATGGAGTAGGTGCGGCAGTGCAGTGCAGATCGTGCGTTGAGGGGATTGAAACACTGCAGGTCCACTGGCATGAAAGTACGACGTACACTTGTGTGAACAACGATGTACTAGTACTCCAGTACCTGAAGCGATGCAGCGAGGCTGGGTTGCTGGCATTGGCTTTCAATCACGAGTGTCCTTTTGCCTTTTACTTGACAGGCGGACTTTGACAGGCGGGTGTTCAGCGTTGGGACTAGTTGCGACCAGCAAAACGACCGAGGGAGTACGAACGGTAAAAGGAACATACACGGTGGTCGGACGTGAGACATGTTACGACTTGGATGTAACGGTTTTGATAACGGTTACATGTGACTGGGCGGGCGCTCTGTCTTCTGGGGATCTTCCATGGCTGATCGGAATTGAATCTTGCAAAATCAACGTCCCGCAGAGTAGATCTTGTTTCTTCCAGTTAGCTTCTCTGAAGACGTCTTCGCTTTCTGAATTCTTCCAGGTTGATGTAATAGACTTTGACAGAGGAGCAGTACCCAGTCGCTGACTGATACGCTAGCCTTCTCCCTTTAGGATTACAGCCACATCTCGCCGCAGTGCCCATGTAGATGAAAAAAGCACCCATCATCTTATCCCAGAACACATGTGCCTCCCGGAATACAGCCTCTTCCTCCTCATTGATGTCCTTCTTGATGGGTAATCTGAAATAGGGGATTTTATCTGCGGTGACCACGGGTACATTGATCTGCTTGCAATAGTCTTTCAGGAAGTAGTTGAAATGTTTGAGGGATTTCCCCTCCTTTTCAACAGCGGAATTACGCTTTATATCTCGGGCGTCTTCGTACACGACGCTCGTCATGGTGCAAGATGGAGTTGAGTTGAGGACCAAGAGTAGAACTGAGCTTGTTTGAGAGGTGGAGGTGATGTTCCAAACACTGTCGTGTTCACTAGGTTGTGTATGGGTTCGACCTAGTGTTGATGGACTCCGCGTCCTTGGCGGGTATTAACCATCATTCATTGGCCGATGCTTCCCACGTTTGTCCGGCGTTCGACGTGGGTGCAAGTGAGCGCAAATGGGATGGGATCCGTCCAAGTGATTTTAGGTACAGTACACTACCAAAGGTACCTGAGACACCACGGCATCAGACCATCAGACCATCATGATGTTTATGATATGGTGATGACCTAAGCTGAGAGCAATGCAATAATGCATTGCTTATTGTTTCTCACAATCTGACCTCAGATGAAACTAAACGGCCTCTTTGGGACAAACCAGACCATGGTGAAGTTAAGTTTTTGTGCACCGCTCGCAGTGGCGCCGCTAGTAGCCATGGACATGGTTGGTCTGCAGGCCGTCGCGCAGCCAATAGCATATTTCTTATTCTGCGTTGTCGCCGTAGTTCTCCATGCTCTCCTGTGGATCACCTGCTTTCTTTTGGATGCCTTTCTTGATGTGTAAAATTAGCAAATCATGTTCCCTCTGGCTTTTTCACCGCCCTTGCTCGTGGGCGTTTCAGATGCTTTCGAGGTGGGCAACGCCTGAAACAAGTCAAACCAAGACACTTACTCTGACTGCTTCCCGCTTTCGGAGCAAAAAACCTGGGCTGGTACCTTGGTGCTAAAGACGTAAAGTATTTGCTCAGACTTGCCACTGGCAGCGGCAGATTCATGCTTCATTTGAGCCTTCGCAGTGGAAGGTTTTGGGGACTCCCTGAATTAGAACTCTTGAGATTTCTGCCCGATAACATCGATCCAACAACTTGTAATTTCGAACGAGATCAAAGGGAAATTAAGATGCGACTGAAGTTAAAAAAAACGGGACCTCATGCTTCAATCCAAAAAGTATTGGGAAAGACAATCAAAAGGATGGAGTGAGAGCTGGACGAGGACATATCCACCTTTTGCCTGCATCAAAGCCCAAGGACCCCGTGAAGCTGAGTTTGTTGAATATAAAGGACTGGTAGAGTCGGAGATGGTGGACATTACTGTAACGTCTCGGTCCTTTATGGTGCTGCGCTATCTGCTGACTAATATGGACCCAGCGACCGCCAACTATGCACAGATTACGGAGCGTATTCGTGGACGAATCAAGCAAGAAGCAAAAAATAGAATTGAGGAAGTTACGCTGAAATTGAAAAGGGTTCGGAAGGAAGGGGAGGAGGGGGCGAAACTGGGCCATGTTCTGTCCAAGCTACAATGGGTAGCTGGAGGTTGCCGCTTGTTGATGGGTCAAAGTAGATTTGTGGATCTTGGCGAATTCCCAAGGTTCTTGGCTCTCAACAGGGACAGGATCAGTGATCATTATGACAACAACTTCTCGGATTTGGACAGCTTTGTTGATGACGAGAGAGCTCGAGAAGGATGGGAAGAGGAAGCGCGGGAGGAGAGAGAAAAGAAAGATGGAGAGTATATGAGCAATGTCTTACCATTATGTGAGGAACAGGGTGTCGTCCGGGCAGTGGCAAGATGTGAGCGTGAGGATTTGCCAACGGTACCAGGATTTGGAAGGTTCAGTGATCCAGATACAGGTGAGGTGACAACAACCGCATTGGTAGGATACCCAACATTAGTGAGCTAGGAGGCCAAGATGTGGCGTCTGAAACCGAGGCATTAGAAAATGAGCTCCTTTGAGCCCCCTTGGGGGACATACCGGCTGCACCAGTTGCTCCGCAAGCTAATGCTGGTCAAATTAAGCCTAGACATGAAGGAACCTGCATTCGTGTTCAACACGAGACAGGTTCTCCACAAGCTGACATAGCACAAGTCGATCCTGCACATAAGGAAACCTACCTTGGTGCTGCAAAAGGGTTTCTCCTAAGCACAACTAAAGAAGAGCGCAAGCGAAACCAAGCAAACAGACCCAAGAAGTACCATAAAGAGGAAACCAAGAAAATCCGTAGAGTTGTCATCGAAGACACCCACAGAAAAAATGTTGCAAGCGGCGGAAACAAGGAACTAGGTAGGTATCTTTCCAAAGCACTAGCCCCTCCAAGGAAGCAGAAGGAGCAAGTGGGCCAACAAAACGGAAAAGGCAGCGAGAAAGGATGCCGACGTCAAAAATGTGATGATTGCGGGCACTTTCCGCGGAAAGGGCATACTTGTTTTGTTATCAAATTGAATAAAAGCAAAGTGGCCCAGCTAAAAGAGCTTGGATTCCTTCCTGCTTCACAACACGATGGCACCAACATCCATATTTAAGGGCGTACTTCCAAGCTCACAGGCTGCTTCACCCGTTCTCGCCCTCAGCAGCTATAGTCGCCACAGTTTTACGTAATCGTTAGTATCCATTTTTTTAAAAGTAGGTACAGTCAAAGAGACATGCAGCAATTGAATGCATATAGAAGTGCTGCTAGCTAGCACATCCTCTGCCCAGCACGATTGTAAATGCAGTGTGTTGATCTTTCACGAGGACAAGACTTAGTATGCAGATATCATAGATTGTGTCAGGCCATATCAGCCTCGGAACCTCACAGTGGCGAAGACGGCGGCAACAGCATGGCCCACATGTGATGAGGTTCCACAGAAGGCACAACCTCATCATTGCTGTCCTTGTTTTGAGTGGCTTCTCCCTTGTGAACCTTGAACCCGAGAATGCCTGCAACTATGGTGGAATTGTGGTAGATTGGAGGTCTTCCTGGTGCTGCCAAGCTTACCTTGGCTCCTTGTGAATGGTTCCTACAATTCTCTTTGATCTCTTGTGCAAGGATCTGGTCTCAGCCGGTCAAGAATGAGTCCAACCAGCCATCATATGCCCTCACTTTGAGCTTGAAACGAGCCGTACTGTGGCCGCCACCAAAAAACTTGTTTCCGAGCCGTACTGTGGCCGCCACTAAAAAACTTGTTTCCTGTTGCGTCCATGAGAATGTTGATCCAGAACTCGGCGGCTTCCAGTCATCTGGTTTGCTCCTAGTCAAGGCCAGTTTTTGAAACATACCCAGGATCTCGTCAAACCAGGAATCCGACATTTTGATGGCTTCTTGAATTGGCTTGAGAACCTCTTTCAGCAACGTTAGTTTGGAGGCCAAGTTTTCCTAGTCTGCTATGCTTCCTTTCATTTCTAAACTCCGCTGGCCACAGCCAATGAGAACCACTGAATATTCAAAAAATTCTTCCACACTGGCCATCAGATTGATCTGGGATGCAATCGTTTGTGCGGGTGTTGTGGTAGAAAAGTCACTTTGCATGCCTTGGACAAGGCCTCTTTTCCTTGATGCATCACAAAGAACTCTCTCACCTGGTCGGCATATTCGTCGTACCCCAACCCGCTACTCTTGGCGGCCCTACCAATGGCCTTGGCAATCTGGCAGGTCGCTGCTAACCACCAATCGTCTGGGCCAGTCCGAAGGATCTAGTGGTTCTTCCATGCCTCCAAGACGCATCCAAAGAGACCCAAATCACCACGACGAAAGTAGGCGCAAACGTCTGTCTCTCCTGATCCGATCGCATAGGTCTTGGAGGGTATCAAAGTGGAAACCAGCTGCTTGGAGCTCATGGGACGTTTGCCCGCCTTTTCCCAAAGCCACATCGAGGATGGTTTCAGTCTGGCGTCGAGTTTCAAATCCACAAGAGTGTGGTCCCCTGGCTTCTCGGCAATATCCTGGTGGCCAGTGGGATGGAGCTTGCTGTGAAGAGACCCATGGTCAAGGAATCCTTGTGGCTTTGCCTGTTTCTATACTCTGTCTCACGAAATCCTTGCGAGCTTTGTGGGAAGATGAATGAGACAATGAGCACCGTGGAGCATCTGCATCTCTTTGTGTACTGTACCGGTGTGAGGTAGCGAAAGATCGGCTATGAAAGTCAAATTCTCCAAGTGCCCACCAGCTGCCAGTTGCTGTTCGCTTCTTGTTCAATCTTTGTTGGTCTATCGGTAGCTAGCTAGTAGAGGCGTTCTTTAAAAAAAAATCCCTTCGAGATTTGAAGGGGAGTTGAAGGGGAGTTGAAGGGGAGTTGAAGGGGAGTTGAAGGGGAGAACTGGAGAAAGATCAAAACATCAAAACACGATGATACCGGTAGCCGTAAAATCAATGTAGTCGCGGTTATGTTTTCATCCATGCCTTCAAAAAAGAAATGACTGTGACGTACTACCGTACATCGTACGGTACCGTACGTGCCCTTTCCCTTCCTCGCCTGACTCACAAAATAATTGCTTCATCGACACCGTCGATGACAAGATCACAATGATGAGCCAAGGGCTTGAGGTGGCGAATGCAACACCTAGAATCGTCGTCTCATCAGCTCTCTCTGCGCCTTTTGCGTCACAGGATGAAGCACAAAACGTAAACTAAACTGACTTCGAAAACAGAGAATCAAACGAAACTCAGCTATTAGAAACCATGATTTGGCCCCGTTGTGCACTCCTTTTGACGTCCTCCCTCCTGGTGAACGAAGTGGCGTCATTTGCAACACATGGATCCCCTGCATTGCGATCGCATACTGCCGTGTCCTCTTCACCAAACAATGAGGAAGAGACTGCCACCCTCACGGAAACTCCTGCTCCGGAAGCTTCAGCAGCAAAAGAGGAACCCGTGTATTACGACATTTTGTCTCAAGAGAGTCCAGCTGCGCCCATGATGTCCGCTGGGGACTATTTGCCAGCCGCCAAAGATGCACTCGACAAAACGTACAGTGCGTATGCGCCCGTGAATGGATGGGTTCCCAAGGAAGACTATGCGCTCTGGGGGCTCCCCGGTGCCATTGCTCCGCTGGGATTCTTTGATCCCATTGGATTTGCACGTCAAGGTACTCCTCTCAACGACGCCAAGAGACTGCGTGAATCAGAGATTATGCACGGCCGTGTGGCCATGGTGGCAAGTGTTGGTTTCTTGGCAGGCGAAGCTACGGAAGGTCCTTTCCACATTGCCGGTCCTGCCAATGATCAACTCCAACAAGTTCCAGCACCAGCATTCTGGTTCTTGACCCTGTCCATTGCCGCTGCCGAGCTGTACCGTGCCAAGAAGGGTTGGGTGGAGCCAAAGTTCAAGATTGGCTCCAACACTCTCTGGACGCTTCGCGACAACTACTACCCAGGAGATTTGGGTTTTGATCCACTGGGGCTCAAGCCCACCGAAAACTATGACTTTCAAAGAATGCAAACCAAAGAGCTTTCCAATGGTAGGCTTGCAATGCTTGGAATTGCTGGAATGATGGTTCAAGAACTCGTCAATCATCGAACTATTGGAGCGACTGCTGAGTTTTATGCCATCTTGTTCTCTGGAGGCAATCCCTATGAAGGCTACTACTAAACGAGCAAGGCAGCCAAGCAGACCTGAGCTTTCGTTGAGACGACCTGTACAAAGAGATTATATCGTCTCAGCAACACAAGCTGCTTTCTTCACTGTACATAACCAAAACTGGAAGTAACTTAAACATTTACGGAACCAACATCTCTGTACATGAAATGAAATAAAAAATCAAATAAAACCTTCTCAATAGTTTTGTCAAAACCATGAATGAGAGCAACGCGCTTGTGTCTTCTGCTAAAAAGACTGAAACCTCTGGGGGGGACTTGTTAAAAGGCGATTCATCCAAGCCCCCCACGCAGAGCTTAAAGCCCCTTCTGAACAAGAAACGCAACAGCATTGCCAGGATCAACGTCGTCTACGCCGTCTCTTCATGGGACGACGCATCGTCTGCACAATCCAGCATTGCACCGCAACGGTAAGGCAAACAGAAAGACTCCACATCCGATGTAGCCAGTGAGCACGTACCGTGTCGTCATCTTCCTCCGTGTCGGTGTTGTCATTAGCTGCTCGATCTCCCTCTGCATCAATAGGCAGTGACGCAAAAGGAGGAGGAGCTTCCAACGGCTCTCCAAAGCCCACCTGTGATGGTCCGACCTCCTGGTTGACCTCTGATGAAGATACAGGGCCTAACTTGACGTCGTCAGCCTCGTCCGCATCCGAGGAGCGCTGTACATAGGTTTCCCAAAGAGAGTAGATACTTTGAGCTTGAAAGAGCGTACTGTGGCCGCCACCAAAAAACTTGTTTCCTGTATGTGGCCGTTCTCCGTGAGAATGTTGTTCCAGAACTCGGCGGCTTCCGGTCATCTGGTTTGCTCCTAGTCAAGGCCAGTTTTTGAAACAACCCAGGATCTCTCAAACCAGGAATCCGACAGCTTGATGGCTTCTTGAATTGGCTTGAGAACCTCTTTCAGCAAAGTTAGTTTGGAGGCCAATTTTCCCAGTCTGCTATGCTTCCTTTCATTTCTAACCCCGCAGGCCACAGCCAATGAGAACCATTGAATATCAAAATTCTTCCACACTGGCCATCAGATTGATCTGGGATGCAATCGTTTGTGCGGGTGTTGTGGTGGAAAAGTCGTTTTGCATGCCTTGGACAAGGCCTCTTTTCCTTGATGCATCACAAAGAACTCTCTCACCTGGTCGGCATATTGTCGTACCCCAACCCGCTACTCTTGGCGGCCCTACCAATGGCCTTGGCAATCTGGCAGGTCACTGCTAACCACCAATCGTCTGGGCCAGTCCGAAGGATCCTAGTGCCTCCAAGACGCATCCAAAGAGACCCAAATCACCAGACGAAAGTAGGCGCTGTCGTCTGTCTCTCCTGATCCGATCGCATAGGTCTTGGAGGGTATCAAAGTGGCAACCAGCTGCTTGGAGCTCATGGGACGTTTGCCCGCCTTTTCCCAAAGCCACATCGAGGATGGTTTCAGTCTGGTGTCGAGTTTCAAATCCACAAGAGTGTGGTGCCCTGGCTTCTCGGCAATATCATTGTGGCCAGTGGGATGGAGCTTGCTGTGAAGAGACCCATGGTCAAGGAATCCTTGTGGCTTTGCCTGTTTCTATACTCTGTCTCACGAAATCCTTGCGAGCTTTGTGGGAAGATGAATGAGACAATGAGCACCGTGGAGCATCTGATTCTCTTTGTGTACTGTACCGGTGTGAGGTAGCGAAAGATCGGCTATGAAAGTCAAATTCTCCAAGTGCCCACCAGCTGCCAGTTGCTGTTCGCTTCTTGTTCAATCTTTGTTGGTCTATCGGTAGCTAGCTAGTAGAGGCGTTCTTTAAAAAAAAATCCCTTCGAGATTTGAAGGGGAGTTGAAGGGGAGTTGAAGGGGAGAACTGGAGAAAGATCAAAACATCAAAACACGATGTACCGGTAGCCGTAGAATCAATGTAGTCGCGGTTATGTTTTCATCCATGCCTTCAAAAAAGAAATGACTGTGACGTACTACCGTACATCGTACGGTACCGTACGTGCCCTTTCCCTTCCTCGCCTGACTCACAAAATAATTGCTTCATCGACACCGTCGATGACAAGATCACAATGATGAGCCAAGGGCTTGAGGTGGCGAATGCAACACCTAGAATCGTCGTCTCATCAGCTCTCTCTGCGCCTTTTCGTCACAGGATGAAGCACAAAACGTAAACTAAACTGACTTCGAAAACAGAGAATCAAACGAAACTCAGCTATTAGAAACCATGATTTGGCCCCGTTGTGCACTCCTTTTGACGTCCTCCCTCCTGGTGAACGAAGTGGCGTCATTTGCAACACATGGATCCCCTGCATTGCGATCGCATACTGCCGTGTCCTCTTCACCAAACAATGAGGAAGAGACTGCCACCCTCACGGAAACTCCTGCTCCGGAAGCTTCAGCAGCAAAAGAGGAACCCGTGTATTACGACATTTTGTCTCAAGAGAGTCCAGCTGCGCCCATGATGTCCGCTGGGGACTATTTGCCAGCCGCCAAAGATGCACTCGACAAAACGTACAGTGCGTATGCGCCCGTGAATGGATGGGTTCCCAAGGAAGACTATGCGCTCTGGGGGCTCCCCGGTGCCATTGCTCCGCTGGGATTCTTTGATCCCATTGGATTTGCACGTCAAGGTACTCCTCTCAACGACGCCAAGAGACTGCGTGAATCAGAGATTATGCACGGCCGTGTGGCCATGGTGGCAAGTGTTGGTTTCTTGGCAGGCGAAGCTACGGAAGGTCCTTTCCACATTACCGGTCCTGCCAATGATCAACTCCAACAAGTTCCAGCACCAGCATTCTGGTTCTTGACCCTGTCCATTGCCGCTGCCGAGCTGTACCGTGCCAAAAAGGGTTGGGTGGAGCCAAAGTTCAAGATTGGCTCAAACACTCTCTGGACGCTTCGAGACAACTATTATCCCGGAGATTTGGGTTTTGATCCACTGGGGCTCAAGCCCACCGAAAACTATGACTTTCAAAGATGCAAACCAAAGAGCTTTCCAATGGTAGGCTTGCAATGCTTGGAATTGCGGGAATGATGGTTCAAGAACTCGTCAATCATCGAACTATTGGAGCGACTGCTGAGTTTTATGCCATCTTGTTCTCTGGAGGCAATCCCTACGAAGGCTACTACTAGACGAGCAAAGTAGCGAAGCAGACCTGAGCTTTCGTTGAGACAACCTGTACAAAGAGATTATATCGTCTAGCAACACAAGCTACTTTCTTCACTGTACATAACCAAAATTGGAAGTAACTTAAACATTTACGGAACCAAATCTCTGTACATAGAAATGAAAAAAAAATCAAATAAAACCTTCTCAATAGTTTTGTCAAAACCATGAATGAGAGCAACGCGCTTGTGTCTTCTGCTAAAAAGACTGAAACCTCTGGGGGGGACTTGTTAAAAGGCGATTCATCCAAGCCCCCACGCAGAGCTTAAAGCCCCTTCTGAACAAGAAACGCAACAGCATTGCCAGGATCAACGTCGTCTACGCCGTCTCTTCATGGGACGACGCATCGTCTGCACAATCCAGCATTGCACCGCAACGGTAAGGCAAACAGAAAGACTCCACATCCGATGTAGCCAGTGAGCACGTACCGTGTCGTCATCTTCCTCCGTGTCGGTGTTGTCATTAGCTGCTCGATCTCCCGCTGCATCAATAGGCAGTGATGCAAAAGGAGGAGGAGCTTCCAACGGCTCTCCAAAGCCCACCTGTGATGGTCCGACCTCCTGGTTGACCTCTGATGAAGATACAGGGCCTAACTTGACGTCGTCAGGCTCGTCCGCATCCGAGGAGCGCTGTACATAGGTTTCCCCCATCTTTACGTCTTCAAATCTGCCAGTCGGGTCGTTGCTCGGCACATCAGAATCTGTTCTCTCGAACGTTCGCTGGATTGGTTCGACCCCCTCCTTCTTGGCTCGACGCAACATCTCTTCTACATCCAACTTAAGCAAAGAGACGTCTTTGATGAACTTGTTGATGGGCTCCCTATCTGCGAGTGCCTGCTTGTTATTCTTTTCGTGCTCTCCAGGGTAACCTTTTTCCCCATTCTTGTATTTATCCCTGTCGTTGTATAGGTCCAGGATCAGTTCGTAATCCTTGGGTATGCTCCCTTTCAGCTCTTCTTTCAGCAGCAGCTTCCTTGGGATCCTGACAAAAAGACAAAAGTGCTCGTCCTGATCCTTTTCTCCGATGAATCTCGCGCCACAAAGGTTGCAGTTGTAGTTGTCACGGCCTTCGTTCTTGCTGTAACTGTCTCGGCTCACCGTGGAGGCCCCTGAACTTCTCCGTCTCCTCGGTTTCCTCATCGCATCGGCTAGCTTTCTGTTTCCACGGGTGATATGCTTGGGAAGAATACTGCGTGGAATATCAAGCCCATCTTCTTTGTTATATTTCTTTCCCTTTCTACTCTGGTTTCTCATGCTCTTTAGAGGCGGGACAGGCGGGGCTACTAGAGGCTCGGTGTCTGCATTGGGGGGCCTTGGCGCGATATCCACATATCCATCTGTTCCAGCTTTACCACGAGCTTGAGGTTCTGTCTTCTCGCCGTCTTCTGATCGTCCCTCGCCGACATCTTGCAGATCACAATCCCACTGGGAAACACCCAGAGGTTCAATAAGGAGCTGGGCGGCAACAGGACCAAAATCCTCCGAGGCCTCCGCACACTCGCCACTCGTGTGTATGGCTGAACCAGGCATATGAGGCTTCGCCTCGCAATCTGTTGCATCACCTTTGCGAACTTTAGTCTGATCTCCTTCGTGAGGAGGAGCCTCCACTTGACCAGAAAGGAAGCTGTCGAGCGAGAGGCCGCTGGAATCCTGGGTTGCCGGTTGTCCTGTCCTCAACGTGCCAGTAAGAGGTGGCATTTCTTGTTCCAACTCGTGGCCCCCTCGTGGCTCTCATGCAAAGAACCAAGAAAGGGAGCACTCTCAATGTTGCCCCCCAGCTCAGCCAGCACACGCTCGACTTCTCCACCACCGTCCTGATGTCCATGCCCCACACCGACGCCAGCAATCCAATCCAGCATGGCAACGGCATCCTCCTCATCGTTGTGCGAATCAACCTCATCTTCTTCAAACGAGGATCCTTGAGGTTGTATGGATCTGACACTGCACGATTCAAGGTCGTCTTTTGCATCATGCGTAGGATCATCTCCAGGACGCTTGCCATCCATCAGCGCAATCACGATGTCCGAACGCAGTTGGCAATGGCACATCATCTTATGAGAGGTTGGGTTAGCTTCCAAAGGATAGGAAGTTGAGTTGAGAGGATCGATCGATCGGATATGACAAAACTGAGCTTTTCATCGCCACCTCCGAGGAAGGAAAAGATCCTGCCGCCAACCATGCGTTGCACCTTACTTTACCCCGCGACAGTGCCCTTCTTTCTCCGGTAGAGCATCTACGATTGCGAAACTTTCGTGGAAAGCCGGCGAGGCTAAGTCGGACTTTCAAGTTGACCAATCTTTAGAAGATCTTACAATGTACATAGATACTGATAGGAGACTCTTCTTTTCGGCCGTGGCCTGTGGGTCATAGCTTTTACGTATTCACAAGGGTATGGACAGCTGGCTATGATAGTGCTGTAGCTAGCTATGGTAGTATGGCTTTTCTGCAACTGGAGGTAGTTTCTGTAGGGAAAGGAACGGTTGATTGGAATCACTCCGGAGCTCAGAAACGCCTTCGGGCGGACATGGGCCAGAAGGCAGCTGTGTAGATACTGTTGCCTCGTTGGAAGGAGCAGATACCGTTTTGGAAAGAGATTCACTTGGTGCACTGTAGACATTTTGGATCTTGACTTGCACAGCCTCTCAACAAAGCATTCTGCGCGCCCACGGGACCATTTTCTCGTTTTTGTTTGTTTGTTTGTTTGCTGTCATCTTCACTTCTACTACAATACAAACGTATGTGTCAATTCGTCGATAAAGGGTGGTTCGTCTTCATCAGATTTCCATTGAAGAACCGTTCCAACCCATAGACTGGCCCATCCCCCGGTCATGCCTTGACCCGTCGTGTCGCGCAATTGTAGTTGGTACGTGTGTCCTCGTTCGGCATGGAACGTGTAAGACTCGAGGGCCGGTGCGAGTGTGTTTCCAGTCGATACGACCGCCAAGACTTCCGTGGTATCGAGATTGCGCAGTTCCCATCCCGTTTGATTGGCGTAGGTGGTATAAAAGACATCGACTGTAATTTCGACCGTCGCCACAACTGTACTGTCGGCAGCAATATCTTCCTGTCGTTGTTGTCGAATATCCTTCACCAGGAATTCATTGGTAATGGTAAAGTAGTGTCCATAAAACGTCGAATGTCTTGTGCGGACTTGTACGACCCGCGTCGTCCTCCTCCTTGGTGACCACAACGTGATTGTTGCTCCCATCAACCCCGTACCAAATGGATTGCGAATGGTAAAGTAATATGTGCCGGCTTGTAGATTGTCAAATTGCAATTGGATCGCATTTGGGTGGCACTTCTGCTTCTTGTATTGTGTCTTCTCGATCTTGCACGGGCAAATCCACTGGTTGTTCTCGATCTTTTTTGCGTGCTACCGATATATAGCCCGCTCCCGTATTGACCAATTCTGTCACGACACCCGTGTCGTCTTCCGAATGAACCGATTCATAGAGCGTCGTCGACGAGTTGATATGATAGAGTCCCCACGAGTAATTTTGATACAACGTTGTATCCAGCAACATATCGACTTCCAGTGACAAGTCAATGGGGAAATGAGCGCCTTGACAAAAATCCTCGTCATAGTCATCGACATGATAACACGCCGTGGCTTGAATCCATGGAAATCCCGTACTGATGCGGGCATAGACACCGGGATATTCGGGTCGCGCACACCCCAATCCCCAACTGACAATGCCGACTTGGTATTGTTCTTGGCTACTAGCAGTGCTAGCCAGAAAGAGAGGACCGCCAGAATCGCCTTGACAGGCATCCAATCCGGCTTGTCCCGCACAAAGAGCGGCATCGTTGATACGAGGACTCGAGTAAGCATCGTAACAATCTTCATTGGTCACATAGGGGAGTGTGACTTGTTGAGCGACTCCGAGTCTTCCTTTCCCCCTTCTTCCAGGCGTCCAAACCGACCGCCACCAAGGCGTCTCCTTGCATCGTCGGTATCAGTGGATTGTCATTGAGCATCACCGGCGTGGCAATACTGGTGGGGACACTGGTTTTGAGCTTGAGAATAGAAAAATCCCAATCGGGATCTTCGCGATTGCCATTGTAATTGGGATGAATTCTAACGTAGTCCACGTCATAGTCGTTTCCATCATTGCCTGTCCGACTAATGGAATTGACGCGAATGGCACCGGGCGTTCCCAAATGACAATGTGCCGCCGTCAAGACAACTTGCGGCAGTATCAATGTTCCTCCACACCCTTGATCCCACCGTGCAAATCCCGGAAAGGCACCGGCAGCCGCCGCACTGCCACCCACAATGCGAGGTTCCACCACTGGTAATTGCGACGATCATTGGCATGACATAACGGTAGCAGAAAAAGACAGAGGAACAGCCATGAGATCATCTTCTACTTCTTTGGCAAGCAATCAATCGGTCAAAGAAGAAGAATGAGACCAACTGCTTCTCCCACGAAACTGGCAGGACCACACAGCAAAGCAAACCAATGCGTGCACCTTTCCCAACGGAATGTGGCGTTGGCCATTTTATCTGCACTGACGTCCCAGCAAGACTTATTGCACATTGTGTGGTGGCAACTCCACATGCCAATTTCAAATTGTGGCTCGCGCGGAGCGTGGAAGCATCATCCTGTGCTGGTGGAAGTGGGAGTGTGGTTCCTCTAAGTTTTCCTTGCCCATCCAATGACGAATGGATAACTACGAACTGTACCGGTAGCAACCCCTCCTTCTCAACTCTCTTGAAGATCCTTCTCGCTAGATAGTTGACCAGGCAATTAATTACCTTACTTGCTCGGCCGCGACAAGCTACAGTACCCGGACATCGCCATCACGGGAACATCCCGGTACGATTGCTTTCGCTGGACTGAAAAATGTGGGGAAAAGTCCCACCCAACGAGTCACTCGGTCACCTTGGCTGCACCTTCTATTGCATTCCTATAAGCCCACCTGTGATGGTCCGACCTCCTGGTTGACCTCTGATGAAGATACAGGGCCTAACTTGACGTCGTCAGGCTCGTCCGCATCCGAGGAGCGCTGTACATAGGTTTCCCCCATCTTTACGTCTTCAAATCTGCCAGTCGGGTCGTTGCTCGGCACATCAGAATCTGTTCTCTCGAACGTTCGCTGGATGGGTTCGACCCCCTCCTTCTTGGCTCGACGCAACATCTCTTCTACATCCAACTTAAGCAAAGAGACGTCTTTGATGAACTTGTTGATGGGCTCCCTATCTGCGAGTGCCTGCTTGTTATTCTTTTCGTGCTCTCCAGGGTAACCTTTTTTCCCATTCTTGTATTTATCCTTGTCGTTGTATAGGTCCAGGATCAGTTCGTAATCCTTGGGTATGCTTTCTTTCAGCTCTTCTTTCAGCAGCAGCTTCCTTGGGATCCTGACAAAAAGACAAAAGTGCTCGTCCTGATCGTTTTCTCCGATGAATCTCGCGCCACAAAGGTTGCAGTTGTAGTTGTCACGGCCTTCGTTCTTGCTGTCACTGTCTCGGCTCACCGTGGAGGCCCCTGAACTTCTCCGTCTCCTCGGTTTCCTCGTCGCATCGGCTAGCTTTCTGTTTCCCCGGGTGACATGCTTCGGAAGAATCCAGCGTGGAATATCAAGCCCATCCTCTTTGTTATATTTCTTTCCCTTTCTACTCTGGTTTCTCATGCTCTTTAGAGGCGGAACAGGCGGGGCTACTAGAGGCTCGGTGTCTGCATTCGGGGGCCTTGGCGCGATAGTCACATATCCATCTGTTCCAGCTTTACCACGAGCTTGAGGTTCTGTCTTCTCGCCGTCTTCTGATCGTCCCTCGCCGACATCTTGCAGATCACAATCCCACTGGGAAACACCCAGAGGTTCAATAAGGAGCTGGGCTGCAACAGGACCAAAATCCTCCGAGGCCTCCGCACACTCGCCACTCGTTTGTATGGCTGAACCAGGCATATGAGGCTTCGCCTCGCAATCCGTTGCATCACCTTTGCGAACTTTAGTCTGATCTCCTTCGTGAGGAGGAGCCTCCACTTGACCAGAGAGGAAGCTGTCGAGCGAGAGGCCGCTGGAATCCTGGGTTGCCAGTTGTCCTGTCCTCAACGTGCCAGTAAGAGGTGGCATTTCTTGTTCCAACTCGTTGGCCCCCTCGTGGCTCTCATGCAAAGAACCAAGAAAGGGAGCACTCTCAATGTTGCTGCCCCCCAGCTCAGCCAGCACACGCTCGACTTCTCCACCACCGTCCTGATGTCCATGCCCCACACCGACGCCAGCAATCCAATCCAGCATGGCAACGGCATCCTCCTCATCGTTGTGCGAATCAACCTCATCTTCTTCAAACGAGGATCCTTGAGGTTGTATGGATCTGACACTGCACGATTCAAGGTCGTCTTTTGCATCATGCGTAGGATCATCTCCAGGACGCTTGCCATCCATCAGCGCAATCACGATGTCCGAACGCAGTTGGTAGTGGCACATCATCTTATGAGAGGTTGGGTTAGCTTCCAAAGGATGGGAAGTTGAGTTGAGTTTAGAGGATCGATCGATCGGATATGACAAAACTGAGCTTTTCATCGCCACCTCCGAGGAAGGAAAAGATCCTGCCGCCAACCATGCGTTGCACCTTACTTTACCCCGCAACACACGCAGTGCCCTTCTTTCTCCGGTAGAGCATCTACGATTGCGAAACTTTCGTGGAAAGCCGGCGAGGCTAAGTCGGACTTTCAAGTTGACCAATCTTTAGAAGATCTTACAATGTACATAGAACTGATAGGAGACTCTTCTTTTCGGCCGTGGCCTGTGGGTCATAGCTTTTACGTATTCACAAGGGTATGGACAGCTGGCTATGATAGTGCTGTAGCTAGCTATGGTAGTATGGCTTTTCTGCAACTGGAGGTAGTTTCTGTAGGGAAAGGAACGGTTGATTGGAATCACTCCGGAGCTCAGAAACGCCATCGGGCGGACATGGGCCAGAAGGCTGCGGTGTAGATACTGTTGCCTCGTTGGAAGGAGCAGATATCGTTTTGGAAAGAGAATCACTGTGGACATTTTGGATCTTGACTTGCACAGCCTCTCAACAAAACATTCTGCGCGCCCACGGGACCATTTTCTCGTTTTGTTTGCTTGTTTGTTTGTTTGTTTGTCATCTTCCACTTCTACTACAATACAAACGTATGTGTGAATTCGTCGATAAAGGGTGGTTCGTCTTCATCAGATTTCCATTGCAGAACCGTTCCAACCCATAGACTGGCCCATCCCCCGGTCATGCCTTGCCCCGTCGTGTCGCGCAATTGTAGTTGGTACGTGTGTCCTCGTTCGGCATGGAATGTGTAAGACTCGAGGGACGGTGCGAGAACGTTTCCAGTCGATACGACCGCCAAGACTTCCGTGGTATCGAGATTGCGCAGTTCCCATCCCGTTTGATTGGCGTAGGTGGTATAAAAGACATCGACGGTAATTTCGACCGTCGCCACAACTGTACTGTCGGCAGCCATATCTTCCTGTCGTTGTTGTCGAATATCCTTCACCAAGAATTCATTGGTAATGGTAAAGTAGTGTCCATAAAACGTCTCGAATGTCGTATTGTGCGGGACTTGTACGACCCGTCGTCGTCCTCCTCCTTGTGTGACCACAACGTGATTGTTGGCTCCCATCAACCCCGTACCAAATGGATTGCGAATGGTAAAGTAATACGTGCCAGCTTGTAGATTGTCAAATTGCAATTGGATCGCATTGGGTGGCACTTCTGCTTCTTGTATTGTGTCTTCTCGATCTTGCACGGGCAAATCCACTGGTTGTTCTCGATCTTTTTTACGCGCTACCGATATATAGCCGGCTCCCGTATTGACCAATTCGGTCACGACACCAGTATCGTCTTCGGAGTGGACCGATTCATAGAGCGTCGTCGACGAGTTGATATGATAGAGTCCCCACGAGTAATTTTGATACAACGTTGTATCCAGCAACATATCGACTTCCAGTGACAAGTCAATGGGGAAATGAGCGCCTTGACAAAAATCCTCGTCATAGTCATCGACATGATAACACGCCGTGGCTTGAATCCATGGAAATCCCGTACTGATGCGGGCATAGACACCGGGATATTCGGGTCGCGCACACCCCAATCCCCAACTGACAATGCCGACTTGGTATTGTTCTTGGCTACTAGCAGTGCTAGCCAGAAAGAGAGGACCGCCAGAATCGCCTTGACAGGCATCCAATCCGGCTTGTCCCGCACAGAGTGCGGCATCGTTAATGCGTGGACTCGAGTAAGCATCGTAACAATCTTCATTGGTCACATAGGGGAGTGTGACTTGTTGGAGCGACTCCGAGTCTTCCTTTCCCCCTTCTTCCAGGCGTCCAAATCCCACCGCCACCAGAGGATCTCCTTGCGACGACGGTATGAGTGGATTGTCATTGAGCATCACCGGTGTGGCAATACTGTTGGGGACACTGGTTTTGAGTTTGAGAATAGAAAAATCCCAATCGGGATCTTCGCGATTGCCATTGTAATTGGGATGAATGCGGACATAATCGACATCATAGTCATTGCCATCATTGCCCGTCCGACTAATGGAGTTGACGCGAATGGCACCGGGCGTGCCCAAATGACAATGGGCCGCCGTCAAGACAACTTGCGGCAGTATCAATGTTCCTCCACACCCTTGATCCCACCGTGCAAATCCCGGAAAGGCACCCGCCGCCGCCGCACTGCCACCCACAATGCGAGGTTCCACCACTGGTAATTGACGACGATCATTGGCATGGCATACTGATGGTAAAAGAAGAAAAAGACAGAGGAACAGCCATGAGATCATCTTCTCCTTCTTCTTTGGCAATGGATTGGAGTGATTGGCAGTCAGTGCAGCGCACACTCAAAGAAGAAGAAGAATGAGATGCAGCCAACTGCTTCTCCCACGAAACTGGCAGGACCACCGTGAGCAAACCAAACCAATGCGTGCACCTGTCCCAACGGAATGTGGCGTTGGCCATTTTCTGCACTGACGTCCCAGCAAGACTTATTGCACATTGTGTGGTGGCAACTCCACCTTGTCAATTTCAAATTGTGTCTCGCGCGGAGCGTGGATGTCATCATGTGCTGGTGGAAGTGGGAGTTTGGTTCCTCTAAATTTTCCTTGCCCATCCAATGACGGATGGATAACTACGAACTGTACCGGTAGCAACCCCTCCTTCTCAACTCTCTTGAAGATCCTTCTCGCTAGATAGTTGACCAGGCAATTAATTGTCTTACTTGCTCGGCCGCGACAAGCTATCAGTACCCGGACATCGCCATCACGGGAACATCCCGGTGCGATTGCTTTCGCTGGACTGAAAAATGTGGGGAAAAGTCCCACCCAACGAGTCACTCGGTCGCCTTGGCTGCACCCTCATTGGCATCCTCTGGCTACTAGTATGTTTGGAGGCTCTAAAGGAGGAGCAGACCAAAACCCACCCATTCTGCTTTTGGCGAGATTCGATTCCTCCGTAGCGGAAGAATTCAAGGCACTCACGCTCAGACCTGACTTGTGAAAATCGCCAACCTACGCAACTAGGCTTATAGCTTTGCGCTACCCACAATAGCTACTACGTAGGCTTATAGTTTTGCGTTTGCCTACAATAGCTACCAGCTAATCGACATTCACATTCAACTCATGGTTTTGTTTCGCATTGTCTTCTTTTCCTTGGCTGCATTGTGCGTTCGTCCATCCGCTTACTTTGGCTAATTGTTGCTGTTGGCTTTTGCCATGGCATCCATGACACTCTCCTCGTCACGCTCGCTATACAGACAAATCACACATTCTTCCAATTGACATGCCGGGTGGTTGGCCCATTTCTCGTGGGCCCGAAGAATCTCCGACACTATCAGTGGAATGGGATTGCCAAAGGAACCACCGCCCACCAGAGTCAAGTAGAGCCGTTTGCGTTGACGCAAAATGGCAGCCATGTAAATGCCTTCATAGGCAGCCCGTAGCAGGGAACGCATGATATTATTCAGAGTGGCATTGGAAAGATGACGGTCCACTCCAAAATTCCATGCATTCAAGGAAGCACTCAAGACATGATCCACCACGGGATATTCCAGCAATTGGTCCTTGCTGTTCTGGACAACCACAAGGGGTTCCTTGTATACGATAGTCTTGCTGGTTCTACCAAACAAGACGGGGCAATCTTTGTGAAGACCAATGCAAACTTTGGTTGCGGCCGCAGTCACATCTTCTTCCGATCGCAGCAATGTTTCCACACCGGTCAGCGTCAGTTTGCCGTTTTGCGGCACCCCAAAGTACTCGCCCGTGTGTTGCAACAGATTCACCAGTTCTTCCTGTCCATTGACCAGGCTTTGACCGCCGCGAGCGAAATGACATCGATAGAGATAAGCCGATGTGGTCCCAAACACGGCAGCAGGTCCCTGGGTACAGTCCAAAAAGGCACCGTCGACAAAGCGCCCCGAGTCCAACTTGGTTCCACGGCCGGGGTTTTCCAAACAATTAAAATTGCTCGCCACTTGAATCATGGCACGGTCTTCGGTCGATAGCGTGCCCTGCAAGCTTCCAATATCCACACCCGATCGGGTCGTCAATACGGGCGCCTTTTTCTTCGAGTTGCCTTCAACCGGCAATTGCGCCACTTGCGCCGCCATCGACTCAACTGTGGGCGTATCAAACGATCCAAAGGAAGTCAAAGTGCCAGTCTTTTCGTTGACAAAGCATCCATCACGAACAAATCGTTCGATTCGTTCTTTGCCTGTTTGGACCAGAGCCTCTTCATTGATACCCAGGATTGTCTCTGTGACGGGATAACAAGACGGTTGCTCCTGGGCGCCGCTTGTTTTGCTGGAGACAGATCCCATGGTCTTTGGCCCTTTGTGTGGTCCCTTTTTCGTTTTGTGGTCCTTGGCCATTTCGGAGCTCGATCTCAATATTTTGTGAGGCGTTTGTGCACGAAGGAAGCTTCAGTCGTGCCTCTGTTCAAAACCACGTCTTGGATCTTGGTCGACTACGGGTAGATAGCTACACTAACAAGGGTAGTTTCGGCTTGAATTTGCGCTGGTGCTGGCCCTTTTAAAAATGCAATTATTAGATCTACCGGTAGCTCCTATTGCATAACCAGGCACGGTGGCAGCTATAGGGTGTTGTAGTTGTTATGGTACCGTAGCAGACACGGTGCCAGCTTTGATTGAATGGGTAGGTTCCAGTATGCATAGAGTATGCATAGAGTATACTGATTGCTTCTTGTTGTCACGAGTCGAGTCTTTCCAGTCCTGACTCAATTTTATCCAACAAGTTTACAGTATAGCTCGCGTAGCAATGTACAGGAGAGCCAGCCACGCGTTTGTGTTGAGAGATCAGCTGCATTTGTTTTGGAAGCAGACACGGTGCCAGCAAAAATGGTGTTCAAGGATTTGGTACCATCATGAATTCTTGTTTTCTGCTGCTGATCCCGTGCTTGCCTTCACAAGTAAGCCTCGTCTTCTAGTATGCATAGCTGCAGTCGTACCGGTAGCCTTTACAACGAGCGCAGTCACTCATGGATGCTCGGAGATCGACGATTCTTCAATCAATTTGTTTGGTCGTGGGGTTTTGGGAATTGACCGTTGGATCTGCCCCGCCGCCGAAAGGAAGAATACCTTGCAGCAAACACTTGACGATCTTTTTCGAAGGCACATCTCCAGCTAGTCAGCATGGGGAACTTCCTGCAGATGAGGCTACCCAACAGCTGGAGGATATCTTTCTTTGCAGTGCTTCTGGCGCTAGTTTTTCCCCACCCAAGGTTGTTGGTGGTGGCGGACTGCTTCTTCGAGGATCTGCCCCTCCAAGAAGGACTGAAACGAGCGCCCATTGTGGTTCGTCTGCTCTACAATTGTCCTAGTGCCGTGGTCAATCTAACCTGCCCAATAGAAGCCTACAATGGAGAAAACTATGTTGTGGCACAGGAAGGATACCAGAGCTATACAATCAGCGAAGTGTTTCAACAAGAAAATTGGACGGAAGCCGAAGCGCCGTTGCAACCGGGAATGTCCATTGCGGTACTTTATGACACGGACACCGGTTTCTGGAGAGACTTGCCATTCCAATTGATTGCGGATCCTAAAGGCATGTTGGCCTTTTTGAGTCCTTATCGCACTTGTGTGGACACTTCCGGCGCCAATCACTACGACTTGCCGGCAGGTGTGGGATTGGTGGAAACTCCCTTCTTGCTCAACGAATGTTCTACACTCAACCAACGATGGTCTGACCTCTCGGATGAAAACGTCACCTTCTTGAGGTCGCAACCAGGATTCCTGAACGTATCTGACGACACCACGACGACGATGACGAGTAGCGAGGGCGTGATCAATGTCAGCGCAACAGCCAACAACAACGCAACATCATCCGAAACGGTGGGCTCGGAGTCAGCAACAGATTCGGAACAACATGACCCCACATCGGAGTCCAGTTTTCCAGCTGACATGCAACTTGAAGGAGCATCGTCAGCTAAAGCCGTCGCAGGATGGACCCTTCAGTTGCTATTCGTCGGAGTGCTTGTCATTCTCTCTTTGCCTCCATTGGAGTAAACTTACTTGGTTAAACTCACTTTTGCTAAATCATATTGGCACATAATGAACTCCATTGGAACCTTAAGCATCCTCTAGTAGCTAGAGATACACAGGCGCAAAGCATACATAGCACCTACTAGCTGACAACCTTACAATGAATTGTGGACTGAGCCCAATGCATAGCTGCCCGATTCCCTCCTAAAATGGTGGCAACCAAGATCATAACAGCAGCATGCCAGCGGCGTTCTACGGTACTGGTACATGTACGGTACGATGATCCGGTTGGTCCACGAGGTAAAGTTTGTGTAGCCAAATGCGAAAAATCGGAAAAATTGGAATTGTGAGAAATAGAAACATTGGAATATTGAGAAATCGAAAATGGAAAACTATAATTGTGAGGAATCGAAAATTGAAAATTCAAATTGTGAGAAATCAGCAAAAATGTAATTGTGAGGAATCGGAAAATGAAAATTGGAATTGTGAGAAATAAGCAAAATTGGAATTGTGAGAAGTCAAAAATCAAAAAATGAAATTGTGAGAAATTAAACAAAATGGAATTGTGAGGGAAAAAATGAAAATTGGAATTGTGAGAAATCAACGAAGTTTGAATTGTGAGAAATCGAAAATTTGAATTGTGAGAAATAGGCAAAATTTGAATTGTGAGAAATCGAAATTCAAAATTTGAAATGTGAGAAATCAGAAAACATTTGAATTGTGAGAAAATGAAATTTGAAATTTGAAATGTGAGAAATCAGAAACAATATGAATTGTGAGAAATCGAAATTCAAAATTTGAATTGTGAGAAATCCGAAAAATATGAATTGTGAGAAATTGACTACGAAAATTAGAATTGTGAGAAATCTGAAAAATATGAATTGTGAGAAATTGAAAATTAGAATTGTGATCATTTTAAAAAATATGAATTGTGAGAAATCGAAAACAAAAATTGAATTGTGAGAAATCAGCAGAATTTGAATAGTGAGAAATTGAAAATGAAAATTGTAATTGTGAGAAATCGTTAACAATATGAATTGTGAGAAATCAAAAATTTGAAAAATGAAATTGTGAAAAACTAGGAAAAAATGTAATTGTGAGGAATCGGAGAAAATCAAATTGTGAGGAATTATAATCAAAAATTGTAATTGTGAGAAATCGGCAAAATTGTAATTCTGTGGAATCAGCAAAATTGTAATTCTGAGAAATCGAAATGATAAAATGGAATTGTGAGGAAACGGAGTAAATTGAAATTGTGAGAAGTCAGAAAATATCTGAATAGGGAGAAATCAGAAAATTGATATTTTATTCTGGCAATTGCCGAGATTTATCATTATTATAGTTTAGACTCCATGCCCAGTAGCTGACTCGATCGGCTTGGCTCCGAGTCAATGGAACTACCGGTGGCTACGACGTAGCTAGTTGACCAAGCTGCAATGAAAAAGTCGTATTGTCCAGTAGGATTTTTCGTCCTCCAAGCTCCTGCAGGTTACATTATCAAGAATAACTAACTGTAGCTAGCGATCGACTCAAGGTTTGAGGAATCGGTATGAAATGTACGCATTGATGGCTTGAAACGGGATCATGGGGCCCGTCGGAGCTCCGCTCTTGCGCATGTCAGGGATGACGAGGCAGACAATGGAACCAATCACGAAAACCGCGAGAGTCCCGTAACCAAATGCCTTGTACATGTCTTGACCGTTCCAAAGAGCGGTGAAAATACTCAACCAAACCAAGGAATGAGTAGCAATGGCACGAATCATGAACCGAAATTGATGGTCCGAAGGGTTTGAGGCGGCCTCTACCTGCGTGATCATAGTTTCCGGGAAGAAAAGGCATAGCGCATCAAAGACGCCAACCAAGAGGATGGGTGTGATGGCAGCCACATTGGCTGGCAGACCCGAACCTGAAATGAGCGATACGGCGCAAGCCCCAAGGACGCTGCCAATCAGGAGGGTTTTCTGACGGTGGCCACTGGATTTGGTGGTATCCCTTGCTTCTTGCACTAGCAACAGAGCTGCAAGAGGAACCAAACTGATTCCGAGTGCCTGGTTCAAAGCACTTCCTTCAATGCCCTTCTTCATTGCAAGCATGCTAAGAATTCCATCCTGGACCATGCTGATTCCGGCAAACCGGATAAGCTTGTTCGCCGGAGATGACGGTGTTTCCACCTCATACTCGTGGAACAGTTTCATTCCCAAACCTGTCAGAAACGTAAACACAACACCCGTAGCCAAGCGGTTGACTACATGCATAGTAGTACGGTAGCATCGGTTACAGCATAGAAGATTCGATTCCGGTGGATGAACACTTGATTAGTAGAGCGCTGTCACTTGCTGATTGACCCAATTACAACACGAATTGCTTACCTGAGAAGAACATTCCAAGGAATCCATCCGAGAGAAATTCCTTGGAGACTTGCGCATCGCCACCGCGAAGACCCAACACAGCCTTGGTCGACGATCGTCCACCAAGGAAGGCTTTCTGCTCCGTTGGAGAACGCTGAAAAGGAGTGACCCGGAAACGATGGCCCTCACATCCGATAATGGTACAGGCGAGGAGAAGGAAAAATGACAGCAACCACCGTGGTTTTTGACTGCGCGGAGACATCATGGTCAAACTGCAAGCAAAATAAATGGTGTGGATTGTCTTCTTTTTGGGAGGGAATCCAAATAATGTCAAGATCAATCAGTAGACTGGCAGCTGTTACGATCGTAATACATGTAATACTTCATGTATGTATACCGTATCGTACGGGTACAGTGTACCCATACTCGATTGTCGAGTACTGGACCCTCAAACCGGACTGAGTTCTTGCTTGAGGTGTCAGAGGCATCAAGATATCATTCACTAAATAGCAACGAACGGTCAGTGGACGGACTCTGGGACAAATCAACCCTGCCGCCGGCAGTTTCGAAGGCAGAGCCAATGACGCCAGCAGAGCTGTTCATTTCATCCATGCTTCAAGAAGCCGACCTCAGATCTTGCTTTGCGAGACGAAACCTGTTTACCTGTTTCTTCCATCACAAAATCTTTTCGGACCCAAGCTCAGCAAAGGAAAGACATTATCCACAACAACAGCAGCAAGTCATCAACCGACCATGGACAGCGTTCGATTCCTCACCAATCGTCCCATCACTCCCTTTCAGGAGCACCTCGCCAAATGTCAACAACCCTTTGAGAAGTCGCTCTTGTATTCCTCGGCCAAAGACGAAAAGTTTGTCGATGAAGATCTCCGCCAAAGCTTGTTCCGAGCCATCACCGACCCAAAGCTGATGGATCTGATGGACGTAAGTAGTGAACCTTGTCTTGATGAAGAGATTAACTTTGTCGTATTGACGGACGCATTATCTCACGAATTTTGAGTAACTGTTGTGGCAGGCGAACATTGTCTCTCATCTCAACCAGACGGACCAGTCGTATCAATATACCCTCTGTCGCAATGATATCACCCACATCAAGTATGAGGAGGGAGGGTTCTTCCAGCGCCACAAGGATTATTTGAGCCTCACGTCCAACTTGATTGAGGAATTTACCTTGCTCGTGTGTGTGACTACTCCCTCATCATCATCGTCAAACGCTCAAGGCGGTGAGACGACGATCCACGGTTTTGGAGGCACATCCCAAACCTTTGCGACGGCGACTCCCGGCTATGGGCTCTTGTTTCGAAAGGATCTCGACATGAAGGATGTGTCTTGAAGAAGGGGACCAAACACATTCTGACGGCCAATCTATGGGCCATTCGAAAGCAGCAGTCCAGCCAAGTCTTGCTCGTGACATTTCCAAACGCTAATGCCAAAGCCGTGAGTCCCATGGAGCGTGCCGCCAATGCCTCCTCGAGCTATGTGTTGCCAGTGGACAACCTCACTGGAATGCTCAAAGCACATGTGGAGTGGGCCAATCGCGCGGCGGAGCGAGAAAGCAAGGATCCACCAGCAGTGGTGACATATGTCTGCCAAGACTTTAGTCATGAGGCGTTTGGAGTGGTGGTGAAGATCTTCAATCGCTGCTATGTGAGGAGGAAGCCATCGAGGAACACAAGGAATGTTTGGGCTATTTTGGTCCTTTTCAAGCCCACAATCTTCTTGTCAATTTGGCGGTTCTGGGTGATCAGCACAACAAGAATGATGATTCCTCCCCCGCCCGCAAGAAGCACAAGGAAGCATCGGATGACGATACCTTTGATTCAGATGTGATTGTTTGCGAGAACGAGGCTCGCATGAATGCAGTCTGCGACGTGGCTCGTTCACTCAATGAGCCCTATGTGCCCTTCAAAGTTCTTTTTGTGGAAGGAGTCCTGGCTTACGCATCAAGTCACGGAGACGGAACCTCTGCAGTCGAGATCCCCATGACGGCGGGGGCTTGCCTCGTGGGAGACTACGACAATATTTTCTCCCTCCGCCTAATCGGAATTTCTAGTATCAAGGCGCTTTCCCTAAAGGAGATCCATACGAAACGCTACCTAACGAAGAGAACCATCGAGCACTTGGCTAAGGCCGACCCGGGGCAGCTTCTGTCTGGGGAACCATTCTTGCTCGACCGCAAGGATGATTTAAACATTGGATTGGGTCTCAAGGTTGCATTTAACTACACAAACCATGACATGAAGGCACGAGTTTTGAATGAGCTTCTCGGCGAACCGGGGAAACGCCCTGGTTGTGTTTGGTCCTGGGAGGACAACGTCAAGTACTTGCCTGGAGTCTCACCGCGGTCACCTGATGGTGGCCTCTTCCATCGCGATTCCAAAGGAAAGATTGCCTTCACCAGCAAGCAAGCAGAGGCCGCCAGCGATTTCATCTCCTCGCTTGAGTTGGACGAACGCGTCAAGGCGTCGCTGCAGAAGAAACGATTCGAAATCCCTCAGCATCAAGGCCATGTAAATGCCAATTTCTGCAACGAGGCTCTAAGTTGAACATCCTTTGGGTTTGTGGAGCTCTGCGCCTAGAAGACAAGAAAGTGGCAGCGAAAAGGAACACAAAGGAGGGCGAGAACACAAAGGAGAGCGTCCCCAAGGTCGCCGAGTTTGACGCTTGGCCACCTCGTTGGCAAAAGCTCGAGTCCGAACGAACCAAGGAATGGATTGACAATCATTCTGGTGACTACGGAGACTACTGATTCTGCTTTCGGTCAAAGTCAATGAACTGAGTTCAGGCTGATCGTGTGGATAAGCACTCTTTTTCATAGATCTCGCAATACAGTGTACACCTTGGGGGTTCAACCACATTATAAATAATAATCGCTCCCTGTGAGTTGTGTAGAATCATCACTCTAACAGGATCCACCAAGCTCGTAGTTGTGTAGCAAAGTCGTCGTAAAAAGTGTCTGTCTTGCGCATTACACCACGAGTCACTACAGTAGCTATGGTTCCAAAGCTCATTTGTTTGTAGACACTGTAGAACCCAAACCTGCAGTGGGGTGGAAGAACACGCAGAGGGCAACAACTTTCCCGAAGCTCCTTCCGCCTCATTTCCACGCTTGATCAAAGCACCTGTATCAAGCCAAATTCGACGAGTACTGGTTAAGCAATGGCGAAACTGATGGTACGCGATCTTAGCGACTAAGAGAGGCATCCCGCGACGTACAGAAATTGAAAATCTGTACTCCAGAGGAACGCAATCACAAGATTGAAGCTGCATTCAACCAAGGCATTGAACACTTTTTTCAACTCCCAGAGACGGTACCGGTACCGTCTGATGCATTTGTACTGCGGTACTACACTTGTAGCCACAATCACTGGTTCTACATCATGCAATAATTTACCTAACATGTCCGGGAAGGTACGATGTACGGTGCCAGTTCTAGAGTTAGTTGTACTAGCTAGTACAATGTCAGTACATGTGGATTTCGCACGGTACAGCTAGCTAGAAGCACGTGGCTGAGAGAATGCTTCCTAAAACGACTTTAAAAAACTGAAGATCAGTCAGAACCGGAGCACTTATGGCTGAGGGCTCGAATCGAAGATTCACTGCCACCACCTCAGCTGGGGCTGGGGCCTTAGTGACTAATGTAGCTAGTAAAAACATCTACGAAGGGAAATGCCTTGGTAGGTACAAGCTAAGGAGTGGTTCCAACCTCTTGTAGGGAGGTGGGGGAACCAAGAATTAGGACTACTACTAGCTTCTAGGGGGGGGGTGGGAAAAAAGCAAAATTCCATGGTCCAGAAGCCTGTTGGTGGTAATCCAGCATCAGAAAACCAAACAGTGAGGAACTGTTTGGCTGATGCTGACCTCAACCAGTCTACAGGATGGCAGGTCAGACTCAGCAGGAACAGTAAACTGCCCCGCTGGCTTAGAGTCTTGGCTACAAGAATCGAAGATTCACTGCCACGCCTCAGCTGGGGCTGGGGCCTTAGTGACTAATGTAGCTAGTAAAAACATCTACGAAGGGAAATGCTTGGTAGGTACAAGCTAAGGAGTGTTCCAACCTCTTGTAGGGAGGTGGGGAACCAAGAATTAGGACTACTACTAGCTTCTAGAGCCAATAGCAGCCGACGCTGCTCGTAGAGCAAGTACGCGCCATTAGTCACCGGAGGCGGCGAGCCAGCACAGCTGGAAAGAAAAAAACACACAGGGCGACTCCCGGGAGTAAAAAGTACTCTGGGGGGAATCGACCGTTGCTCATCGAAGGAACTCAGTAGCGTGTAACGCATAGCAGAGCTGGACGTTCGTTGAGCAGAAACCATCTGGTCTCCACAAAATAGTGTCTCGCAGAGAACACAACGGAATTTTTAGGTAAGTGCCAAAGGCAAAGAACAAAGACATCGCGGAAGATGTTTGCTAACCAATGACACAGCTGTATTGCTGAACAGGACTGAAAGATGGACGACGCAGCGAAGGATGCATACATCGCCGAATTGGAAGCCAAGAACAATCTCTTGGAGACAGGCGTGGGAGCCACGGTAGGGCTCATTGCGGGAGCCACCGGGAGCAAGAGTACGGCAGTGGAGGCCACCTTCATGCAATGGCGTCGAGGGTTTCCTCTCGGCCAACTGAGCGAACGCAACCGTACGCTCTTGTGCCGGACCGTTGGGATGTCCGATCGTGAGTTCGCACGGTTGGAGCGGAAGTTCAAGGCGCAGAATCCCAAGTATGACTAGGCAGACCCAGCGTTCGACCCTGCAGGTCGTCGGCAGCCCATGGTCACGCCCAAGAAGGTCGTGCGACAGGCCCTTGCCGATAACACGTTGGAGTGCACGGGCAAGCGAATGCGTGCAGCACAGCGATTGACGGGAGCTGCATTGGATGTTCTCCAGTCAGGGTTCCACAATGAGGACCCACGCTACAACGCGACCGAGGTGGCCAAGGTCATGACGGGATGCGTGTTGCAGCGAGGCGCGGCTAGTCAGCGGGAGCGGAAAGCAACCTTCCGCCCCACCCGACGCAACCGGCGTCAGAACGACGCAGCTTAGGCCGCCGCAGGAAGAAATGGTTATCCAGGCCAGGACATTGTCCGAAACCGACAACAAACGCCAAGTATAAACCGGCACAACAATATACCACGAAATGCACGGCATCATGATGAGCCACAGCAACAATCAACAAGACCCACGTATAAACGGGGAGGAGTCATAGGCCAGTAGGTTATTAAATTATAGACAGGGCATTGCCTGGAGCCGATCAAATGCAGCGTTCTGCCTTCGTGACAGTAGTGCCACATTACGAAAATAGGTAGCGAAAGTCATAGACTTCCACCGCAGGATCCATTGGATGTCGCGGTCGGAAAACCCCATGATATGGAGTATGACACAAGCACCAATGCGAATGGAGTGCGAGCTCCACAGTGCTAGATCTGCTGCATCCGCAACCGGATCCAAATTGTAGACAGCTGATGCCAACCTACGCATGAAGCGCTCGATGGCCTGGGCGTCTACCAGCTTTGCTCGTTTAACACGAGGGTCCCAGTAGATTGCCAGTGGTGTATGTGCAGCAGAAATGGCTGGGCACAGTAACTGGACCTGGGCGAATCTGGTCAATGCACGGTAGGTGGAAACAACAAAGCAGAAACCCCCAGGGGTGGGATTGCGCTCGAACTGCCGTTCTTCACCGTTGTTGCCATTCTTTTGGGTACGGAGCTTGACGAAGATTCGCAAGACTTCATTGCACGGAGTGGACAAGATGGCCAAACCAACCACCCTACGGCCTGAAGCAGTGACAGCTCGGTAGTCATTGGGCACAACAGCACGAGTCTGACAGGCAGGCAACGGCCGGCCATTGGTGTGTGGGCGGGCAACATTCGTCTTTCCTGACGGCTGGGCCCATTCAGTGAGGCGGAAACCGCCACACATCCCCTGCTCAAACCCATCGGTGAGAGCACAGACCTGGCTTGTAATAGGGAACTTTGCAGCAACCTGCCGTGCAAGCATATGCATTTTGTGGTCGTATGGTTCTCGTCTGTCAGCCATAGTTTCATACTTGCGGATGTCTTTCATCACGCTTGTGAGGAACTTGCCATTAGGGCGATCGCCCTCCTTGTCCTTTCTGTAGTCAGCTTCAGTGAAACTCTCAATGAGAGTAGCTGCAGCAAGAATATACTGGGAAATAGTCCCAGCCTTGATGGCCTTGCAATGTATGGAATGCCCGGCGCTAAGATGGACAGCATACATTGCAAACTGGAGCTGGGCTCTCTCAGGTAGCTTGGGATGCGTGCCTTCGAGAGTCAGGTTGTCGTCCCACCTCATAGCAACACAGAACCAGAGGTAATGGAGGCGACGGGAAGAAACCGTCCTAGCACTGGCGGCAGAGTGCATGGAACTGGTATGTGCCTGGAGTACAGCCTGCAAGTAAGGAGCTGTACCAGCTCGAGCGACGGCAGGAAATAATCCAAGGGCTCGAGACAGGGATGCTTCTGAAACAGCTGTTGCACCCGGACAGGAAAAGGAACAGAAAAATCATTCCGTGAGATGTCATCAGCGACAATGTTCTGTACCCCTGCCAAGTGCTCGCACTGGGTGTGTATCACGGATGTCCGTAGAAGCTCGGCATAAACCGACACCAATCCCTGCCCTTGGGAGGTTCTGGCTGTAACTCGGTTTTCCCAGGACTTGGAAACAGAGTTGTCTGTTTCCCCGAACCAAACTGGAATGGCTGGTGCCCCATTAGGAAAATAGGAGCACACAGCACCAGTTGGGAGGTCACGGAGCCTGGTAACAATAGCAGCCAACTGGAGGACGACCACAATAAATTCCAAGGAATTAATGTGGACGAACCCAGGGTCACTAGACTTGGTGTTGCGGGCACCATGGATGGTTTTGGGTGACCAAACAATGTCAAACCAGAAACCGAGGCCTAGGCAGTAGGCCCCTCCGCCGAGGAAACTGGCATCACCACGGGAAGCAAAGTGGTGTTCCCTAGGTATGATCAAACCGATTGGGACTTCCCAAGGGGAGTCAGTTGATCGAACATACCAGAGCAGATGGGCCACAGAAGCACGCATGTCTTCATCCACTGCAAACCTCTGGCGGGTGGTCCACAGGAGCTTAGCTCGTTCACGGTGGATCATGGATTCCACACGGCCAAGCAGAGACTTGGGTAGTTCCCGGCGAAGATTGGCTTCACGCCCCTGCCGGTTGAACCGACGCTGGACGATGTGGAACCGAGCAACGAGGGCCCTGCGGACAGCATTCTGCAGTGCACAGCACCAACAACGTGCCCACCTGGCATACTTGGTATGGTTCTCCAGCGTCCCAAGTAAGTGGGCAATCTCCAGCAGGTCGAAACTCTCACGGACTACCCACAACTGGAGCAGTTCCAAGAGCTGGGACTTCTTGTGTGGGAGCATCCCAACAGTAAGCGTTCTAGAGTCGAACCGCCTACCCACAAGCTTCCTGCGGTGGTTGTACCAAGCTTCGAACTTGTCCCCACTCAGTGGAGAAGGCACAAGAGGGTTGTCGGGTACACCCAGGACATCGAACAAGGAAGCCACACTGGCACAAATTGTTCTAGTCAGGTGTGACCGGACATCAGCATACAAGTTGTCATCCACATGCATGTTGTAGGGTGGGGGCATCCGTGTACCATCAGGGTTCATGATCCCGTGGTTGATACCGTCCCCATCAGCTTGGGCAAACTCAGCAATCTCCTCGGGAGTTGGTGGGTCTGCCATCTGGATCTCGGGCAGATGTGGGAGGGTCCTGGGTATGACGTCAGAGTCATGGACCCATAGATATCAGGCAAGTTGCCTCCTAGCTTGGCCAATAGTATCCCAGTTTGAAGGGGAAGTATTGTCTCCGAAGGTGCCGCCAGTATTGATGACACCATAGCCAGCTTGGAGACTTGTATGCATCCCCATACAGTTTGGGTGGTACTTCATAAGTCTGAAAGCCCCACTGACATCATCGTCAGCTATGTATATCTCTTCCCTGGGAAAATCCTTCCGGGTGTTGTAGAGCCAGATCATGAACTCCATTTCAGCAGTGGCAAACGTGAGGGGAGGCTCAGTTTCCTTGGAAGTCCAGTCATTGATTGCATAGCTTGACGGGGTAGGTCTGAAACTGCTGTCAAAGATTGGCCGTGGGTTCTTGAACATAGTGTTGAGGTCAACTACTCCTTGTGGGGTCAAGTGGGAGTGCAGCATGAACAGCACTGCCCGCTTGTCAACCACTAGTGTGTACCCCTTTCGGTTGTCCTTCACCATGGCCTTATAGGTCTTTTCTGGTTCATCGTCCACAGTAGTGTGGTTGCCATACTTGTAGTAGGCGAGGAAATTCTCCTCATCAGTGAAGGCACGGCAGTGGGCTGGGATCCCTGAGTGGAAAATCCGGTCTAGGCTGGAGATCACGTTCGGGTCAGCACCAGCCATTCGCAAGGCGTCCAGTGTTGCACCATGGTTTCGGTGTGCCCCCACATGTGGACCACCTATCCATCGGACCAAGTCAGCAACACTGCCATCAAAATGCAAGAGGGCAGCAGTAGCCATATTGACCCGGTCTGTGTTGAGCTCAGTTTCGTCATCCCAGCCAGTGGGATACCCACGGACCCCATAGAATTTGGTGGTCCATAGCTCAGCCAGCAAAGACTTGAGCACAGTGACTGGGTAATAGGCAGTTCCAAAGTTGGACCAGTCGAGGCCTGGGTCAGCCAGGAAACCAGATTTCCAAAGCGGGAGCAGAATGTGCCGAAGTGCCGGGGTAGAGTACAGGAACTGAGACAGATTGTCCTTACCAAAAGGTTGGTCAACTTTCGCTAGGACCGCGGGGTTGCTGATCCCTAGCTGGAGACGGAATCGACGCTGGGCTGCTTGCGTGAACACCTCCTTCAAGGTCACGTTAGCAGTTTCAGTGACAACAGACTGAGTGGGGTACCATTCCTCTGCTCTGCGTGTAGCCATTTGTGGGCCAACGTCAGCGTCCTCGACCTCGTCGTTTGGCACCACGTGGGGACCAGGGGGAGGCAAGTGTCGTGCAAGGGCATCCAATGGCTCACCAGGAACGGTGGTGCGTGACCGGACGGGTACCGCCTCAGCAACTGGTGTTCCAAGTGTACGCCGTAGGGTACGATCAGGGAGACATAGAGACATAGAAGAAACTGGATTACAGACACTTAGTAGTTAGAAAAGGTCGGGTGCATACAAGAAAAGTTCTAGGGATCATGAACGACCCTACGTCTCACCAGCAGGCGCCTTCCCTTCTGCCCAGCCCAAGCCGGACTGGGCTTTCACAAAGTCAACAAGCTTTTTCCGGTTATCCGGATTGAGCTGGTCAAGATTGATGATGTGAGGCATCTTGCACTCGGGTCCTCCTCCACAGTAGTACCCTTTGGTCAGAAACTTCATACATAGACGCTCAGGGGTTTTAGACCCGCGTTTCTTTGCACGGGAAGTCACCATGGGTAGCCGGTTGGTACCAGCAATAGCCGCATCGAACGTAAGCATTCCCAACAACTTCTTACGATCGTTGTCTGCTGGGTCGCCAGTCTTTTGCCGCTTTTGTGGGGTTGGATCTCCTCCACGGACCCTATCCGGGTTCTGGTTCTGGTTCTGATTCTGGCTCCTGGGGATCTGCACCGGTGTGCCCCGAGCATCGGGAAACCAGGTGTAGCACGTGGGTAGCCCATCGAATTTACCTAGCCCACTGCCATTCAGGATGGCACGAAGGTCGTGGATGTGAGAATCAGCTGTGGCGATAGCCCCTAGGAAATTCTCATACTGTACTCCGGTGCCAGCAATGACCGATGCATACAGAGTAGCATTGGTGGCCGGCTTCAAGAAAGCCCCCAGAATAGACTGGAGTTCTTGCCAAGGGTGGACAGCCAAGTATGGGTGGTTCCGGTACACCTCCCAGAGGTCTTTGCCGGCAGAGTCCATGAGTAGGCCAACGTACTCCGACATCTTGGTAATGACAATAGGTACCGTAACATCAGCAACCATGACAGAGAACAGTAGGCGGAGGTTGCAGAAAGCCTCGTACACATGCCGAAAGTTCACCAAGGTCCCACCAGTGTAGAGCTGGCTATTCTTGGTAGCCTCGATCTGGGCGGTGCTGTTGGTGGAATTGGCCATCAAGATGGTTCGTGCTTGATGATCTCCTTCAGCCACAAGAGACAAGGCGTCTCGCTCAGGGGATAGGAAATGAATAAGGCAGAGATTCGTTTTGGCAGTAGCATGCGAGGCTGAAAGGAGCCTCACTGCAAGCCAAGCGAAAGTGCGAATGCGGTCACTAAATGCTAGCGTCACATTCTCAGGGCGGAATGTCACGCTTGTATCAACAGACTTGTCACTGGCATTGGCTAGTACGAGCTGAGCCTTGATCAGTTCCCGCAGGTCATCTCCTGCAGTAGAACTGGCTCCTAGACTCAAGTAGGACCCAAAGTCTTCCTTGAGGTCAGGTAAAGTCATGGCGGCAGTTTTGGCTTGGTCCCCGACGGGGGCGCCAGCCAGCAGGATTCGAAAACGGGCTGTAGTTCGTTCAGCAGCACCGAATGCTTTATCGTGCTTTACCAGCGGCTCAACAACGGCCTTGATCTGGTCAGCACTGAGCCCACCGCCTCCAGCGGCCGTGGGCTCTTCAGGGTCAGGTTCGATTTCACGTCCAAGCTCCATCCAGATAGTGGCAGACCACTCCAGGAAACGAGCTCGGGCAGGGAGGAACATGACGCTGTCTGGTGGGACTTGGATTGGACAAGCTGGGAGTCGGGGACGAACAGTGACGTGGTCAAGTGGGTTCGCACCAGCAACAACAACCCCAGGGGGGTCAAACAAAGTTCCTCCAACCGTGACAGAGTGTCGGTTGTTGGTGGAACGCAGATACTGCATTCCCTCCCGCCAAACATGGAAGAGGCGGAAAGTGTCGCGGTAGGATTGGGGACCGGCAAGGTCAGAACAGTGCTCGAACGTCAGTCCGGGTCCAACCGGAAGGACGACAGGCAATGCGACAATTCTGGGAATGTCACCGTCTGCAACTTCATCAGGCAACGGATAGCCCAGTCGCTCCAACGAGGCAGGGACAGGAACAGGGTCGTTGGTGCGTGTGCCATCTGACGCCCCGATACGAGGTGCAGGTGGTCGAGCCAGTCCCACGATAGTATCTGGCGCAGTAGGGTGCACGGCCAAACCGAAATGGGTCGCATCTTCCAGTCGGACGAGCGTCGTGACGAAACCAAAGAAATCATCCACAGGCATCTGGACAACATGGGGTTCACCGATTGAGTCCGTGAAATCGCCAACGACCATGGCGGCTCCCGTGGTGTTGGTAACGATTGTAGGCCGAGTGATCAGGCCTACTTTCTCGTTCCACACACAGGCGAACTGGAAAACATTTCCAGGGTCACTCAGCACCTGCTGCCGATGATTGGTGTTCATACCAGGCTGGAGGGTACGCTGAAGAAGTTGGGCAACGACAGGGTTCATGGCGCGAGCGGTTGAGAACGTCTGGACGGGTCCATTCTTTCCACGAGAAAGGGAGAGCTGGCGAGCAGACATGGTAGTAGGCACGGGCAACGAGTTGCAACTGGATGGCTAAGGGAAAAACTGATTCGAGAAGGAATCGACTTGTGAGCAAACCGACCTGCGGAGATTGCTCCAGCGGGGCGCTAGCCCCCAGCAAATTTGAGACCAGCGTTCACCTAAGTTAGGTAGGCAATTGGAAATTGCTCATCAAGATTGGGCTGGAAGTTTGGAGTCAACATGACACCCAAGTAAAGTAGGCCTCAGCAATTGATTTGCCTAAACCAAATTTCGTATAGACGAGTTGGTTCATGATGCACGTGACATGGGACGGGTCGCCAGGCGCCGCGGAGTAGGGGGGTCCCGGGGGCTCAAGGACTTAAACACGGGCACCTTATGATAACTCCGTGAATCGGAAAAAGAATGAGAGGGGGAATCCCATTTAAGTCTCTCGCGGAAAACGCGTGTCGATCCCAGGTATCCCTCCGTTGGTCAACAACGGAAAGAAAACGAAGTCCCGGATACCGGAAAAATCCGCAACAACAACGATGGCGGTTCATGGGGCGGTGAAAGCACCAGGGGACGACAACGGGCCCAAAGACTAGTAAATAGTAGGATAAAAAATAGAGCCAATAGCGGCATGTTCCTTCTCGACCGATAGCGGTCTTACGAGTTCTTAAGAACTCACGGAAACGTGAAGGGAGGCCACTAAGGGCGCCCATGTGTCACTAGTGACGGGAGAGCCTGTGGTAGAAACACACAGGGTCCGGTGAAGCTCACACAACACGGCCCGACTATGCGGGACACATGGGCGGAGGCACCATAAAGAGAGATGGACCAAGGACGGCAAAAAGCAAAAATTCCATGGTCCAGAAGCCTGTTGGTGGTAATCCAGCATCAGAAAACCAAACAGTGAGGAACTGTTTGGCTGATGCTGACCTCAACCAGTCTACAGGATGGCAGGTCAGACTCAGCCAGGAACAGTAAACTGCCCCGCTGGCTTAGAGTCTTGGCTACAATGCATCATTCAAAAAGAAAACCATGCACGGTTGTTGTGGCAGCCTGACCAATGATGCACTCTGAGGAAGGCCTTGACATCCCAAGGAGAAAACTGTGTACTAGCAACTTTGGCGGCTTCACTCTCACGACTCGACTGCGAACCTCCTGGAAAACAACGAACAAACAGCCAGCGGCACCGGTGAGAGCGAAGAAGATCTCTGGATCATCCTGACCTCCCACAAAAGCATCAACACCAGAATTATCCAAGTGTTATCCAGCACCTCTCACCATGACGAAAGTTGCTCCCTCGGAAGAGGGAAAGCCGGAGTACGATGCCGATGCTCTGATGAAGAAGATCCAAGACATGTACGATACCCTCCCGGATGGTTGGTCCAAGAATCCCAACCCTGGCAAGAATGGGTCGGCTCCCTTTGTGCACGTTGATGGGCGCGTGAGCTGGAAACATCCTTCTCGTGAACAGATGAATAAGGTTATCTCCGATATGACTGGTTCCAAGGATGGCTTGAAGATTCCCGATGACAAAAAGGTCCTCATCAAGCGCTACCGTAGCATGCTCCAGAGTGGAGTCCCCAAGCCTGCCGTGGAGCAACGTGCTCGTTTGGAAGGCGTGGACCCGGCTATGATCTATGCCGCGGAGGAAGAGCAACCTTCCGCTGACAAGCCAAGGAAAAAATACGGTGCGGCCGCCAAGAAGGCTGGTTGTGTGACCGCTTACCAGAATGGAGCGCTCAAGAGGTTCCGCCAGATGATCAAGGCGGGTCTCCCCATGGCGGCGGTGAAGCAGGCGGCGGACCTTCAGGGTGTTGATATTTCGGAATTGATCAATGCCAATAATGCGGATTGCAAGGAGCTCAGCAAACCCTTTGAAGGACCCAACAACAACCAGGTGGTCTTTCAGAAGGGTGCGGATTTGACCCGCTTGGTGACAAAACTTGTGCAGACCATTAGCAAGCGGGCCACAGCCAGTACTGATTTGACGGTCGAACTGCGAGTTCTCTACCATGCCCTTGGATCGTTGCGTGGAGTCCAGCATTCTCGCGATGTCTACAACGGCACCACTTCCAAAAAGATGCCCATTATGGAAATGCGCTCCAAGCGCAAACCTTGGCTCGAGCTCGCGGGCAGTTTGGCCATTCCCACCCCGGCTGATTGGAAGGATGCTGTAGATATTGAAGGTCTCGATGATCTCGTCAAGTGCATCGAGCAGGCCTACAAGGACGACTTGCAGGCCATTAGTTCTCAAGTTGGCGTTGGCGTTTATGACTTCGGATCCTTGGCTCAAATCTACGCTCCCGGAACCCGTGTCGTTGCCACCAATGCCTTTGTGGGTGGAGTTGGAATGATTTGTGAAGTTGCCTGGAATCGCTTCGAGGAAGGAAAGACCTTGTTTGGAATTTCTCGCACCTTTAAAGTTTGCTTCAATTTTGTGGTGGCGGTTGGCAAACACTTTACGATTGCTGAATGTGTCGAAACCATGGAAGACTTTGATGGCAAGCGCCAAATCAGTCTCCTTAATTTTTTCCCACTTGCTGGGTACTCGACCGAAGAGGCGGAACAGAAAGTAGCCCAGTTTGAAGCTCGTGGTCGCCTTTACAACGAGGTTGCAACCAAGCAGGCCTACATGGAATACGAGAAGGGTAGCTTCTATGGCAAACGAACCGGCAATGTCGACCCTGGCGCCAATGCGCTTCACATGGGCGGTCGAGTCATGGTGGATACGCAAGGCAGTTACGAAAATGGATTCTCCATTGGAACCGGGTACGATCCAATGGTGATGGGCATCAAATACAAGTACAAGGAGTACATGTTGCAGATGCGTGCCCAGAAAGAGGACGCAGGCAGCTCTGCCAAGTCTGGTGGTGCGGATGGCAAAATGATTTTATTTGAAACTGTACCCGAAGACTACTTGGCCATGACGTGGCCCGCTGTGGTGGGCTTTTCCTTTCACAGCAAAGTCTGGGGCGATGTCCTTGTGGATGGTTTGAAGCATATCGAATACCAGGAAGATATTTTCGATAAGATTGTCCTTCCTCCAGCCCGCAAGCGTATGGTCAAGGCTCTTGTGAAGCACTCTTGTGATGCCTTTAACGATGTTGTGCGTGGCAAGGGAGAAGGGTCGGTTTTTCTCCTCTACGGTGAGCCTGGTGTTGGCAAAACCCTCACGGCCGAGGCAGTCTGCGAAATGTTGCACAAGCCGCTGTACACGGTTTCCTTGGGGCAGCTCGGATCGACTGCTGCGACTCTGGAGAAGAACCTGAATGACATTTTGACCCTCTGCGCTCGCTGGGATGCTTTGATTTTGCTTGACGAATGCGATCTCTATGTGGAGAAGCGTTCGTCTGGTGGGTCGTTGGAACGCAATGCCATGGTCAGCGTCATGCTTCGCTTGGTGGAGTATTTCAAGGGCGTTCTTTTCCTTACATCCAACCGCATTGATTCTTTGGACCCTGCTTTCAAAACGCGCATCACGTTGGCTCTTCGTTATGATGCTCTTGACTTTGCTGGTCGCAATCAGATCTGGATTAACCTCTTGGAGACCTCTGGCTTTGGTGCTGCCGTCAAGAATGGCGACATTAATACTGAAGAGTTGGCGAATAGTGTCATGAATGGCCGCGAGATCAAGAATTCCATTCGTTTGGCCATGGCATTGGCTGCGGAAGACGGCGAGCCCCTCTCTCAGAAGTTTCTCTTGGAGACCGTTGCCATCTTGGATGAATACAATCAGCAAGCCGCCTCTCCCGAAGTCTCGTACGACAATCTGACCTCTAGCCCTCGTTCGGTTGAGGTCTAGAGCCTGTCGTTCGGTTGATGACCGAAGGAGAAACGGAATGTTGAAAGAACCCCCCTACCAAGCCAAGACGGGAGATTTTATGTGACAAAACAGATGAAAAGGAGCCCAACCAGCAAGCCAAGACGGGATATTGCCATGACAAGCAAGTTCAAAGAAGCCCAACCCATCAAGCCAAGAACGGGAAACTGAAATGAAAGTAGGATAACTCTAGTGATGTGGTTATGCCATCGATTTGCCCAGGACAATCGGTTGCATTGTAGCTCGTATGGTACTGTAGGATCCCACGTATGGATCATCTCCGCGGCTGAGAGAACTATCTGGCGGCTTCCTCCGTTCTTTGCACCCCTTTGCTTCTTTCCCGTTGTGTCCAAAAAGAAAGAGAAATCATGCAATATTTGTGGGCCCTTTGGGTTCATGGCCACTGCTGCTGCCTGTCTTGCAACAAGCTACTCGGCTCGGATCCTTTGTACGAAAAAGGCGACGATAGCGTGGTTACGTACAGTGAATGTACTTTGTTCTTTCCATGTCTAGCTAGCTACTGGCTGCTTCACCGTTCAGTCCGATCTGGTTCACTACCGTAGCTATCTCCTCTTTTTGCGTCTTTTTCTGCGCTTCTTTGCAGCCTTTTTCTTCCTCGTCTGCCGTCTCTTTCGGTTCCGTCTTTGCTGCTTGTGTCGAGTGGTCAATCTTGCCAGTATTCGGTGCTGGCCACCACTCTGCGTGAGTGTTCCGTAGCGGCATGACGCGAATTTGTGGCATTGCTTATGCTTGGCCCTTGACAGGATCTTTGACAGAATCCTGTGGCGATATCGACTTGTCCTTCTCACGATCCTATCGATATTATGGTTGTATTCGCACCATTCTTGCTCTTGGGTAGTCCCTTTGGCTACATCACACGAGGGAATCGTGGACCACGGAATCGTGGTCTTCTCATCTCTCTTGTCCTCCCAGCCATGATGATGAAAGGCAGGTGACGATTCGGATCGTTGCGAATCCTGATATCTCCAGAATCCTAACTGATCAGGGATGGAGGAGGATGACGTGAGGAATCGAATGAGTATGGCGATGATGGCAGTGGCAATGGCTCCAATAGACAGAGCCGTTCTTTTCTTCATTCTTCATTATTGGTATGCAAGAAAGCAAGAAACAGAGAAAAGTGAGGAAGAGTGTCAACAACTTTACACAGCTTCACGCTGACTTACAATTAATTGGATCTTCAGAAAAGATCTCTTTCGAACGCGAAGGAACGACGCGGCAAGTTCCCCGTCAATCAGTTTGATGAGCCACAAACGAGACGAACCACCAAAACAACGACAGGGAAATCACTCATCAGTATCACAAAAGACTCTACCATACAATGGCCAACAATAATGCAGAAATGAACAGTTTGGTGGAGGAGATGACTGGACTAATCTCCAAGCAAGACACGGCAGGGCTCAAGACAAAACTGCAAACGATCCAAAAAGAAGCCAAATCTCAAGAACTGGTGGATTTTGTGGTTCCACTCCTCTTTGAACCAGACGACCAAGCCGCACTCTCCTTGGTCGGTTGCTTGGTATCGGTCGACGCGACAACCTACTTGAAACCCGTGTCTCGCAAAGTCCAACAAGAAGCCATGATCCGAGCTTGCTCTGAAAAACCAATGGCTGTGTCTCTTCCATTTCTGGCCGTCATTGTCCAACAACTCAACGGAACAGATGTGGAGGTATCCAGCAATGCCACGGAATCCTTGGTGGCATGTTGTCGAAAGCTAGGACCATCGCTGTGGGATCCTGCCATTGACTTGGTGTTGTCAACGTGGAAACAAGCCTGGAACGGAATGACAGCGACCAATAAAACCGTCAACAGTACCATTTGCGTCCGTTGTGCTACTGCCATGATGGATCTAGCAGCCGTCCACGACACTTTGATGCAACGCGTCATTGCCACGGGAGGAACCGACTTGCTCTTGCTGGCCGTCAAATACGAAGCCGATCCTCTGTTGCAAATGACCAGTCTCGATTTACTCGAACGCTTGGCTGTCACACAACCGATGCATCCCCAACGATCCCAATGGCTCTGTTCTCCATCCGTCTTGTCTCCTTTGCTGGACATGTCGGGGGCTCATGCCGACGCACCGGATCCCATTTTAGGAGGACCCGCCTTGCGAGTCTTGTCTTGTATTTGTCGACTGGGCCAACAACACGATAATAATAATGCGTCGAACAATGATGCCTTGTTGGGATTTCACAAGGCATTGCAAAAGTTTCAAGGAACGGGCGAATTGGATCGGTTGGCGCTTGTGGATGCCATTTCCTCCTTTGCATCGGCGTCACCGGCAGCCCTCGAATTGGTCTTGAATGATCCAATGACACGAGAAGGATGGTTGTCACTCGCAGTGGCACAACCCAAACTCAAAGCCGTCATTCTCACATCCGTGGCCATGGTCATTGATCCACCCAAACAAAACGAACAAGACAATGACAACAACAATAATGACAACAACAGCAGCAATCTGGCCATGAAATTATATGCCGCTCTGGGACAAACCAACTCGAATGACGGGAATTCCACCGACGTGGTATTGGCGCTGGCGAAATCGCCACTGCCCGAAACGCGTCTCGGGGCTTACAATCTCATGAGGGCCATGGCCAACACACCCACTGGGTCGCAGGTACTACTGACCCATCCAGGATTCTATGTCTTCTTGATTAGTAGAGAAGGCGAGACCACCAAGGAAGGAAAGGAAGCGAAATATGCCGTCGTACAAGCCGTCATGAATAGTCCCGTCAAGGGATTGCTGGCCGCAGACATTCTCCAAACGCTCGACCGGATACTCAAGGAAGGACCTCACTTTGTACAACCCATTCGACCCGATTTGATGACAGAGTAAATAAATTATTAAATACATGTACAAACAAACGAATGCGTCTACAACGGGATATTTGTATGTTTCTATTCATCCATTATCGCTGTAGTACTGTAGTGTGTTCAATTGATATCTAGCGAGGTCGACTGGATCTCGTTCAGGCATGCATGCATGCATGCATGCATTCAATCATCATATGTATTGTCTTTGTACGCGCACATTGTCCAGTCCACATGTCAGGGCGGATTGTGTTGTCTTTAGTGTCGCTGCAAGGTCTTGTAGTCGAACCAGGCCATCACCGTCACTCTCGTCCAAGGGGCCCCACAGCACGGCCGTGTCGCCCACCACAACCTGTGCACCAGGACACTCCTTGTCACCCGCGGCGCCCAGTTCTACCATGAGCATATCCATGCACACATTGCCCGCAACGGGGAATAAATGACCCCGAATGGCGACCTTACCCACACCATTGCCCAAATCGCGGGGATACCCATCGGCAAACCCAATCGTCAAGGTGGCAATGCGCACCGATGTTGGCGCAATATACGCACGATCGTATCCTACACTTTCTCCTTCTTTCAGGACGGCCACATGTCGGACCGACGCCAAAAGTGTCGATACGGCGCGCAGTTGTGTAAAGGCAGGTCGTTGACCGTAGATTGCTCCTCCGGTTCGTACAAACCCTCTCGTTTCGGCGTGGGGTTGTGCCAACAAGGCTTTGGCATCGAAATGTTTCAAATTGGTTGTCAGCAGTGCGGCTGAGTTATCCGTGCTCACAGTGGGGATGGAAACTCCAGAGGACCGAACACGTCTTAGGAGCCCCTTGAACCGGTTCATTTGATCATTGGTGTACGTGGATGTCGAGTTGGCATCTGCCATGTGAGTGCACATGCCAAAGAATTCTGCGACAAAAGAGTATGGAATTTTTTAAAAGCAACATGAGAATTTTTACAGTTGCAGCAAAACAAGTCCAAAATGAATGATAATACATACCAATTGGAGCTCCTTGAACTTCCATGTCCACCAATTCATTAATAATTTCCACCGTATCTCTCCTGACACCAACGTCGCTCACTTCGATTGATTGTGTCTTGAATCCCAAACGACCCATCCCGCTATCCACGAGGACGTGATATCGCAAGCGTTTGCGGGCCATCAGGGCGCCGGTTCTAGTGGTGGTGGTGTTTGTGGCGAGAGAGCTTACGGTACTTGCGTTTGCTGTTGTCGTCATTGTCGTGGAAATTGTCGAGACGGAAGAGGTGGGAGCTGTATCATCCGAGGCGGTGGAATCTTCTCGCACAATTCCATTTGCCCGGGCGGCTGCCATTTCTCGTGTTCTCGAGTTTTTGGCCACGGCTTCAATTCCCCCGAATACTTGTGCACCCGCAGCCGGTGGATTGGTTCGGAATACATCCGGGGTATTAGTGGCAACACTTGCGGCGGTCACAACCGTGCTAGCCTCGGGTGAATTTGCATTGGATGGTTGGCGGGGATTATCCTGGGCTTTGTCTTTGGCAGCCTGCTGTGCCACAAGATACGCTCTCACTTCTTTGGCCAAATCTTGTCCAGATACATTTCCCAGAGTGGCAAGCAGCGCTGGTTCTTTGTATGCGGGACCATTCAGGAGCGAGTCCAGGGATGGCAATTGATTTCCATTCTTTTCAGGAGTTTTTCCATTATTGGATTTTGCACCGTTGTTGTTGTCCTGATGATTGCCATTGGTCGTTTTTGCCGGGGCCACGGTATCTCTTGCAGCTGGTCTCGCGAAGAGTGCCGCCGCTTTGGCATCGTTGGCTGCTCGTTCGACCTGTGTCCGTTTTCGTTCCTTTTCATCGGTGATCCATTCCATGAGGGCCTTGGCAACTTCTGGTCCCGAGCACATGACCTCAATTTGATGATGATAATAATCATCAAAGCACCGCGGAAAGCCCACGGGTGGTCCCAGAACCAGAATTCGAATCTGATGCGGTCTCATGGAACGTTGTGGCTGCGAAGGATTCGACGAGTCGGATGATTTGGACTGGGTATCCGAGACGGCATTTGCCACAGGCGCAGGGGTATACGACTTTCGCGGTGTATTTTCAAAGGCTTTTCGTAGCGCAATGCCTTCTTCCAGAGTAGCCACAGCAAAGGCATCGGCTCCCATGTGATCTGCCAAGTGAATGGCTGTTTCAATGGCTCCATGCCCGTACCCATCGGCCTTTACCACCACAATGACTGAACATCGTTGTCGTGTCGCGGCCGATTCCACGCAGGTATAATTGTGTGATACTGCAGACAATTTGATCTGATGAACGGCTCGGTAGTTGGTTTCTGGGGGACGAGGCAACTTGCCTGCCTCTGGTTTGACCACCACAATAGCTTGGCCCAACGGGCTAATATCGGTTGATGACATGATTATTATTTGTAGTGATTGTGGTGGTGAAGAGAGGTTGCTGTTCCAATTGACAAATTTTTAATGAAGCCAAACAGAGAACAGCGAGAGATCAATCAACCTTCAATCAATCAGCTGATGCCGGTTGGAACAATGACCAAGCAATGGCAGTATCTCGGCTTATTGTTTCTTCGTTGCTTTAGGCTTTCTCTTCAGGAGATAGATCTCACTGCCTTTCACCTTTGATGGTTTCGTCGTCTTTTCCATTGATCCAAGGCAACGGGTCATTTTCCAAACCAGACCTCTTTCACGGAAGCTTTTGTCCATGGGACTCCCGATAAAAGAAGAGATGACGGGATTGCGGAGGCGGGCACGGTTTCTTCAGCTTCCTCTGAGCTCCTCCCATTCTGGAAAGTCCCTCAGAGTCCATGAAGGTTTTCAAGTCTCCTCTGTTGGTGGATCCCTAAGTAAATTAATTTAGCTCTAAGTACCGTAGCACCATGTCACAAGTGCATTTAACCATTAAGTCCTTGTCATTGGTATGAAGTTCACCCCAACCGATACTCCCACCGGTATGAATTCTTCCTCCTCCACCATCCAACCGTCACCCTCTTCACTACTTAGTCGCTCGAAGTCCACACCATCCAACCATCACCCTCTTCACAAAGTCGCTCAAAGTCCACACAGAGTTCAACAACATCATGGATCCCAACGTTAGCCTCTCTGTTATCACCCTTGCTGAAGATTAAGGCTTAGCATAAGCTCCATCTTTCGTTGATCTCAGAGACAACAACTGTGAAAGTAACAAGACTGCTGCAGCCATCAAACAGTTCAATTTCTTCCTCAAAGGCTACTGTGTTTCAAAAGGCTATAACAATCGCCTTGGATTTGATCTGATTACCAATTCTGAGCAAATTCCCTACAATGGATTGGATGGCATCCTCGGAATTGATAAGCAAGGAGAAAGCAATCACCAGAAATGGTGGAGCGACCTCATTGGAAACTTCTTCAACTACATTGCCTTCGATGCTTCCAAGTATCTGAAGAAGGAAAAGGGACTCATTGCCTACGACTCAGCCACATGATATGCCAGCGCCGTGAAAGTGTACTTCCTCAACAGATTCCGTCATGCACAACCCCTTCTCGTCTTCAGTGATCCTAGTTGGAGAAAGCTCTGCAACCTTCTCCTCACCAAGCCCAAAGAAAGGGCAAGACGAATAGGCCAGCGCATTACAATTCTCAAGGTTGCATCAACTGATGATGACAGCAAAGCTATTGCAAATGCCAGTTTCTGGTTAGGAACCACTGAAGCGGCCGAATTCCATGCACTCAATCATGTCTTCACCTATCACCTGATTGGAAGGGGCCATGAAGTATCCATACTGAAACCAGAAGACATTTGTGTTGTTGACACCATCTCCAACCTCCACAATCACAATGTGATTTCTATCACACTACAACGCAACAAAACAGATGGTCCTCTGCTAACGAGGCGTTTTCTCCCACGACTCAGAAGACCAGTGACTCACCCCAGTCGGAGGTCAAGGGATAGAGTTCATGAGTACCGGAAGAGTGCGCATAGTCTGCGCAGCATATTCCACAGTGTGGTCCACGATGCATGCAGCCACCGTGGTTCTGCAATACACGGCTCTTAGCCTTATTCGCGACTCGATCCTAGATAGGGTTTGAGTTCGACTCATGACTGAGTCTCTCGTGAATAGTCATTTGAGACAGGGTTCTCAATGACCGCTCTGGTCATACTAGGTTGATGATGAAACATCGCTCTAGATATTTAGCCAGCGTGGAGTACTTCCACGCTACTAGATCCATGCTAGACAAACCTTCCACGCGTTCCGTTTTAGGATCGTGGAGAGACGTAGGATTACTACCGCAACCTACTCTATCACACTTTATAGTCTCCCGCGGAGGCCAATCTACGATCCCTTGATGATGATCTCTTTCGTTGATTAGTTTTCATAGCTTTCTAATCTCTCTCAAACTTTCATTCTCTCAAACTCAAAACACTCGAAATCTTTACACTAGCTTTTAGCGTAGTGCATTTTGTTAACAAACACAATAGCTTTCAGCTACCCTCAACCTATTCCTTCACCATGAAGATGGCTCAAGGAAAGCATGCGTTCCGCAACTCGAAAAACAGTTGCGTGACAAACCCATTCTTCCTCTCGTCGACAATGACGAGAAAACGAGATCGACGATACTCGTACAACCACTTGCAAACTTCGCAACCATGTTGCCAAGCGCAAATCAGAAGACTCGACAATGAGGACAACTCCTCTATCAATTTCAATCACTTGGATGGAGAAATCTCTATCTGAGGATTAGGCCAGGATGATGACTCAACGGAACCAGTTCCATTTCTCATACCAAATGATGAAGATATCTCACTAACTAGTAAAACAAGAATTGTTTGCAACTATGAACACTACGGCAAATTAGATGATTGCCTAGAGCTGCTCAACTAGACACTACAATCTTTAGCATCGTTAACCTCGTCCGTGGCCAACCACCTCGTAAACGTCGCAAGACAAGAGACCTCAAACCCATCGTCTATTTTAGATTTAACAAGCGAGGAAAAGGAAACCAAAAACCCGTTACACTCCGTTGCTTACTGGTACAGGAGCATCCGGACCTTGATTGCTCAACCTCTGCTAAGAAACTACGCATGAAGGATCTTGGGGGCGTCCAAACATGTGGACTACCCTGCAGGAAATTAAACACCAGCACAGTGCAAAGGTGCATTCATGATTCCTGAATTCCACGAAGATAGAATTATCGAGTGGGATTTACACGTCACAAGAGGCTTGGGGCGTTATGACATGACATAGGTTGAGACATTCTTCTCTGACTTAGGATTCAGTTCGATTTCACTACCATGTCATGGAATGGGACGGCGCATCTATTCCTATGAAAGACAGTGACACCAATGAAGAAGAGAACTTCTTCATTCCTGATCCTACTGCTGTTGATGACAGTTGCAGATCGTCTCAAGAAGATCTTGATGCGAAATACGACAAGATTGACTTAAGGCAGGTTGCCAAAGTAAGATCAGTTTAAACACGGAAGAGAAGGAAACAGTTCATTCCTTACTGACGAAGTACTTGACCTATTCGATGGTACTTTAGGAAAGTGGCAGTGGACGACTACGAAGTAGAACTTCTCCCTGATGCTAAACCCTATCATGCCAGGGCTATCCTATTCCACGGGTCCATACCAACACTCTTAAAAATGGAGGTTGAACGTCTCTGCGAGGCAGGAGTACTCAAGAAGGTAAACCGTTCGAATGGGCGGCACCAACTTTTATCATTCCCAAGAAGATGGATCTGTACGATTCATCTCTGATTCCGGGAACTAAACAAAGGATTAAGCGGAAGCCTTATCCTATCCCAAAAATACAGGACATGCTCTTGAATCTAGACGGATTCAAGTACGCTACTAGTCTAGACCTGAACATGGGAACTCTCACATCGAGCTGTCACCTCACTCGAAGCAACTCTGTACCATCGTCTCCGTGGGGAAAAGTACGAGTACCAGAGGTTGCCAATGGCCTATGTAATAGTCCCGACATCTTTCAAGAGAAGATGGGAACAGTAATGCACGACACTAGAATAAGTCGTGCATACATTGATTATCTACTCATCCTAACTTACGGCGATCTGGCAGATCACGTTGAAAAGTTGATGAAGTTCTCCGAAGGCTTCGAGAAACCGGACTTAAGATCAATGCTACCAAGTCTTCTTCGCAAGAGGAGAACTTGAATACCTAGGTTACTGGATTATCGAGAAGGGATCCAACCTATAACCAAGAAAATAGACGCGATTCAGAATATCGCTCCTCTACCAACAGAAAAGAACTCCGTAGATTTATTGGACTATTGAACTACTATCGAGACATGTGGATTAGCAGATCACATGTACTGGCCCACTCGCTTCGTTGACTTCCAAAAAACGAAGTGGAAATGGGAAGCGAACACGACAAGGCCTTTAGCCAGATGGAGAAGATCATCAGCAAAGAAAAATTGCTCGCCTACCTGACTTCAACGATACATTTCGTTATCCACACGGATGCGGTGATACTCAACTAGGTGCGATAATTTCCCAGAAGGGAAACCCATCGCGTTCTACAGCAGGAAGCTCAAACCTATCTCAGACACGTTACACAGTTACCGAGAAGAATTCTCAGTATCGTAGAAACTCTAAAGAGTTCCGTAACATTCTTTTGGGACAGAGATCGTTGTACATACGGACCACAAAGAATCTTACATGTAAAACTTCAATACCGATCGCGTTATGCGATGGCGCCTATTCTGGAAGAATACGGCCCTGAACTACGGTACATCAAGGGCGACAAGAAAATCGTCGCTGATGCGTTGTCGGGACTTAACATCTCCAACACAGACGGTCTTCAGAACAATAGACGCCAGCGAGATCGCTGAGTCCATGGCTGCAGACGGAGAGGACTTCCCTAGCGAGTTCCCTCTCTTCGTTCCCCGAGTCGAACATCGTCAGAAAGACGACAACGATTTCAAGAACTCCTCAGGGGCAAGCCCAACGACTACAAAAAGCAATCTTTTCCCAGAGGGATAAGTCTTACGACTTAGTAGTTAAGGACGATAAAATCGTCGTACCTAAAACTATGCAGAAGAAGCTAGTTGAATGGTAACATGGTGTGCTGATGCATCTGGCGAGACTCGCACAGAACTAACCCTCAGCAACACTACACCTAGAAAGGACTGCGCAGACTGTGCAGCCGTATGTAGCGTTGCCCAAGCTGCCAGATGAACAAACCCAAGACGCGTAAGCTGGATTGATGCCTCCAAAGACTGTCGAGGAGATCCCTTGGGAAAGGCTATGTATTGACCTGATAGGTCCTTACAACGTCGGGGATTCTAAGAAAAGAATTCTCACACTTCATTGCTTGACAATGATTGATCCCGTAACCATGGTTCGAGATTGCAGAATCTGCTCCAAGGCAGCAGAGAAGTAGCCATCGTTCTAGAACAACGTGGTTACTCGGTATCCATGGCCTGCTGAGGTTATCATGGATAGAGGACGCGAGTTCCGCGCAGAGGGTCGAAAAGACACTCCGGGATGAATATGGACTTCGTCGCAAGTTCTTCACTACGCGTACCCTCAAGCCAACTCTATGGTCGACGTGCTCATCAAACCATAGTAACTTGATCGCTGTTCAAAACATCAAGTGCCAAGCAGACCTCGTGAATGGATCCTGGGATGGAGTCCTCACGGCGGTTCGCTTTTCAATAATGCCACGATTCATACCACCTTGCGCGCAACGCCCGCACAGCTTGTGTTCAATCTTACGCGATTCACAACGTCCGGTTCGAAGCCATCTGGAAGTACATCAAGGAACGTGCCAACGACTTATCCAACAAACAACGATAGGGAAACGCGACGCGTGTCCCTCATCAATACAATTGCAACGATACCGTGATGATCAAACAGTATCAGCACCGCAATACGGTCAGACAAAGT